AATATATAAAAATATATAAAAACATATAAAAATATTTAATTGTATATAAATATATAAATATATATATATATATATATATATATATATATATATAAATATATATATAATATATAAATATATAAATATATAAATATATAAATATATAAATATATAAATATATAAATATATAAATATATAAATATATAAATATATAAATATATAAAAATATAAATATATAAAAATATAAATATATAAATATATAAATATATATAAATATATAAATATATAAATATATAAATATATAAATATATAAATATATAAATATATAAATATATAAATATATAAATATATAAATATATAAATATATAAATATATAAATATATAAATATATAAATATATAAATATATAAATATATAAATATATAAATATATAAATATATAAATATATAAATATATAAATATATAAATATATAAATATATAAATATATAAATATATATAAATATATAAATATATATAAATATATAAATATATAAATATATTAAAATATATAAATATATATGTATATAAATATATTTGTATATAAATATAATTTATTTGTAAATTATTATCGAAAAAATCTGGTAGCTTAGTGGTTGGAGTATCGACCTCTAACTCTAAGGTACTTGGGTTCAATCCTGCCAGATGACAATTCTCATTAATCTGATAATAATTGTAATAGAACAATAATTAATAATAAATAGTAAATATAAAGGAAGGGTATTCTATAAAATAAATAATCTATATAAGTAAAATATTTAATAAATAATAAAAATATTACCGACAGATTCCTGATCAGTCGGTAATATCAAAATTTCTTGTAGTGTAAGAAATAAAGAAAAAAAATTATATTAGTTACAAAGATAATTACCAAAAATTATAACTTTAATAATTAGAATTAATTATAATTATTTCATGAAAATAACACAATCTAATCACAATTTGCATAATTTATTTGTAACACCTCCCTTAATTTGGTTCATAAAGATTTTGAAGGTGCAACTTAAAGGAAGAAAATTATATGGGCCCTAAAACTTGGTAAATATTTTCTGTGGTTGTTGTTGTATTTTTTTGTCTTATGATTCAATGTCATTTCCCATTTTTTACCACTTATAACAAATTTATTGGGTTTTCCTTGATAGTTGTTAAATTATGTTGTGTGAATGAATAACTAGATTATTGTTTTTACTTATATTATACTAGTAATGTACTATCGAAGTTTCGTAAAGTTAATTTTGAGATATTTTTTAATTTAAAAATATATTTCATTTTGTACTTTAGGAGAAGTTCATTATTTGAATTATCTTCCCTCTTATATCACTTCTTCTCTCATTTTTTGGAGATCTAAAATAATCGATAACATCATTATCGATAATGCTATTTTTAATATGAACTTCAAAAATCATTGAAATAGGAATGATCTTACTATTAGTTAGCAAAATGGGTAATGCAAAAGGAAAACATTTTAAAAGAATTCAACATTCCTTAACAAAAAATAGTTTTTAGTTTACACACCATACAACTTTCATCCTTTCTTCTCATAAGATAATCCAAAAACACATATTGTGGCTAACAAACTTATTTCCTTTCTGCGTTGATTATGTGCATAACACAAAAAACCAAATACTCTTAAATGATTATATGAAGAAGTAGACTACTCATATAATATTTCATACGTTTTTTTAATAAAGGTGTTAACATTTACACATAACCTATTTTATAATAGTTAAAAAAGGGATATAATAACAATTTTATAACCGTGATTGTTATAACCATGGTTGAAAAATTATTGACAATTTTAAACTATCATCGTAAATTATCCATAAAATAATATGTATAAATTTGATGGTTATAACTATTATCGTATATCAAAAACTATTATTGTTGCTTCGCCGCAATAATCATAAAAACTTTCACTAGTTTCTCATTATTGTTCTGTCATAATAAACTTATAAGTTTGTGTTATTTCATTGTTACTCTACCATAACTAACATGAAATTTTCACTATTTTCTTGTTATTTCTCTTTTCACATAGAGTCAATGCGTCTAACAAAACACTTTCTAAATTATCTTCGACCTCCAACTCCTCTAATAAAAACTTCTTTAATATATTTTGAATCATCATCTGATTGGAATCATTCTTTTTATTATTATTTTTTTTTCTTCAGACAACTGTGATCATGTCAGAAATATTTACAGTGAAGAAAAACACTATGAGAAAAAGAAAAACATTTTGCAAATGAAAGAAAGAAGAAGAGGAAGAAGAGAAAAATTAAATCACAATAAACATAAGAAGAAGATAAGAGCTGTAAGGGAGAAAAAAAAATGGACACATAAAGACGAAATAAATATAATTAACAAGTAAAATGTTTAACGATACATATACTAATTCTGTGTATAACTATTATTATATACTACATACAAATATGATTATTTTGTAATAGTTGATGTATATGCCATACAACTACTATTATAATAAAAAAAACTATCATTAAAAATTATTTTAAATATATGATCATGATTTATTTTATAATCTTCTTATGATAAGTATAAATGCAACTATCGTTATATGTCATATGATAATTATAAATAAATTATTATTAAGAAGTTGAAAATCATTTCAAAATTATTACCCTGTCTTTTTTTAATGATAACTCATATATAATCATCTTTAAAAACATTTCATATTTTATTTATTTTATTCTATATATTTAATTGGTAGGAATTTATTTATAAAATATTTAAAAATAATATTAAATTTAAGAAATTTTTTGACAAACATTTAACCTAATATTATTTTATATTGTCTTTTAACAAAGAAATAAAATTCAGCCAAATTTTAAAATTCTCCCTTTTTATCAAATAAAAGCTAAATGCAAACAACATGCACACAAGATCATTAACTATATTTACAAAATAAGACCTACTATAAATTCAATAGATCTTTATTAAAAAATATTAGTATTTTTAGTATCACTTAACAAAAATTATCTCTATATTTTATTTTAAACCCTAAACTAACAATAAAATATATATATATATATATATATATATATATATATATATATATATATATATATATATCTTCTAAGTAAAGATAATTTATATATATATATAATAAATTAAAATAAATAAAATAGTGTATGCCCATAAACTATAAGAGATATTTTTTGAACAAAATATTTTTTTATATAATAAAAAAATAATATTGAATGTCTACAAAAAGTAAAGAGGTATATATTCTTTCACTAAAAATATTTTTATAATATATTAAAATAAATATAATGTTTTATATTTGCAGAGATATAATTTTTAGATAAAATTATTTTTATATACAATAAAATTAATAACATTGTATAAATTTAATATTTAATATTCTATATGGTACTAAAATATTTGAAAAATGAAAAAAAAGGTTTAAATGAGTTTTTTACTAATATTTCTAGTTTAAAAAATACTTTTTTGTTAAAAAATTTTAAAATATTTTTTTAAGTAGATTATATTATCTATTATTTGAATAATTTAATATTTTAAAATATATATTTAATCTACATAATCATTAAATAATCAAATAATAATTGTATTATTTTTTTTATCAGTAAATTAAATCAGATCTCAACTTAAATATATAAAATTCATTACCATGATTCATAAAAGATTGTGTTATAGTTGAATAGGATTTAATATAATTCAATCTATTTAAGTTGAATTATAAAATAAAAATGTAAATTATTAAAAGAATAGATCACATATTAATTAAAATTATATCATTGAATGAAATAAAAATAGTTAGTTATAGTTAAGGAAAAAAAAAAGGTGGTTATAATTAAAGAAGATGAAGTAATCAATGACATCGTGCATTGTCCTACCCAAGTCTAGCTGATTTCGTGCAATAACTTACATGGAATGCAAATCTTGGTGAGGAAGCGGTTGCCGATGGATCATTATTCTTTGACCATGAGACTAGATCAACGGTAGACCACCACACAGCACATTTCCGTAGCAGACAGAAAAGGATATCCAACGGTCAATATTATATATTAGTTTCTCAAATGATAAATCTTAATGTATGTAAATTTCATTGTTTGAAACCAAAAGCAACGGGTGATCACATAAATGTTGAGAGTACATTGGGTAGCAGAGGAGATCAAGGGTGAGGCATGAAACAGAGCATAGAAGAGTGAACGGTGGAGATTTATGGGCAAAAACATAGTACGAAACCCAACATTTCATGGGCCAAGAACCGTACTCGTACTACTCCTCTTTTCTTTGTTTGTTTTCACAGAAACTTCTAGGCCCTCTTAAAAAAAAAGTACTTAAAATGAAACACAAGACAAAACAAATATATATTCTTATTCTCAAAATACAGTATAGTATTTTGATTATCTATTTTTATTTATTTTATTGATTGTGATGCGTTGTGATTTTGGATTTTAATATTTTATATCATCTACCATAGTTATTTTTAAGTATATTATTAATAATAACTTTTTCAAGTACCAGTAGTTATTTTTATTAATAAATGTGATGTTGTTATATTATGTTTTATATTAAGGATTTAATGAAATATATAATATATTTAATGTATGTTTTACTGCATAATTATAATTTTTATAAATGTTATTAATCAATTTTTCCAGCCATTTTATAAATGCTACTTTTTATGAATGTGTCATGAAATATTTAAAATGAAATAACATTATTTTGTTGGTGTTATTTTCAATTTTCAGAATTTCACGTGATGGTACAATGAATATGTAAAAATTATAAAATAAAGATAATTGACTGATAAATATATAATAATAAGGATTTAGCAATGGTGTAGGGTGGCAATTATCAAAATAGTGATTGATATAATTATTAAGATAAATATTAAAAAGATAAACCATTGTTTTATAATGTTTTGTTATTGATTACACGAAATAACTCTATAAATTCCATTGCAGTGTGTGTAATGGCAAAAGCAGTAGAAAAGAAGAGAAAGCATGGATAATGAAAACAAGGAAGAAGAGAGTAGTGAAGGGGAAGCAATGGATGGGGTTGAAATGGTGCAGAAGATAAGAATAAAGTTAGTGGGTGGTGATGGGGAGGGTTCAAGAACAGGGTCATCATCTTCTACCCAGAGTTTCTGTCAGGCAGATGAATGTGGTTTGAACTTGAACATGGCCAAGAGTTACCATCGCCGTCACAAGGTTTGTGAGAGACATTCTAAGGCTCCTGTTGTTTTAGTTTCTAGCATTCGTCAGAGGTTCTGCCAACAATGTAGCAAGTATGTATATATTATTGTATCATATCATATAATAATATCTACTTTTTGTTCCATTTATATACCAATATTTTCTTCTTTACTCCATTCCCTTTTAGATCGTGTTTCTTTATTGCTCATGAGATTTGGGTAGAGTTTTGTTTTTGGATGGATGGACTTTGAGGCATAAAATCTTTATTTTATTCTTTGGGTTGAGTGGGACACAGGTTCCATGAAGTTGCACAGTTTGATGAGAACAAAAGAAGTTGCAGGAAAACATTGGCTGGACATAATGAACGAAGAAGAAAACCTAGCACAGACATGTCCTTAGGAGATGATCATCATCTTACACATGGTCATCTAAATTGACTGTAACAACTTGCTATTACCAGTTTCAAGCTTGTAATTTTCTGTAGTTGTTGTTCTTGGCAACATTAATTGTTTAGTTAAATCATTCCATCTGTGTTTGAAAGATGGGAAATGATTCAAGTTATCTCTGTACTTCAGCCTTTTATATATAACAGGGTTAAAAAAATCAAATTTTACAATATAGGATAGGTCGAATGCAAAAAAAATTATAAAAATGGGTCGCTTGAAAATACGGAAGTGCGATTTGAGTACGGTGAAAAACAGAATAGTGGTGATATTTTCACAACCAAAAATTATATAATCATTTAAATAATTTATTTTTATTAATATGATAATTTATAAACTGATTTAATAAAAATAAAAATAAAGTAAAACTATCATTATAATATTAAAACAGAATTGTTTATGGAAGTTATATGGATTTGAGTTCTTGAAGTATCATTTTCCAAATTTAGTGGTGATATTTTGACAACTGTAAATCATACAACCCTTCAAACAACTCATTTTTATTAATATAATTGTGTTAGCTACCACCAATTTTATTTTTATTTTCTTAAAATAATTTTGTTTAGCACGAGTTCTGTATAATTTTTTTAAATAAGATTATTTGATTCTTTTTAATATATTATTTATAAAATAATTAATTTTATATTAATTATTAATTAAAAAAAAACTTTCTTCTTGACACTAACTCTTTAAAAAAGTTTTTAATATAGGAAAGTAAGAGAAGAAAACTTGTAAGGACCCTTAAAAATAAATTTGAGTAACAAGTTAATTAAGTTATTTTCACCAATAAAGTTTGATTTTATTTAAATATGCTAAAAAATCTAAATAAATAATTATATATGCAGTGACTTTTTTCTCTAACATTCAATATCTTAAATGTTTGACTAAATTTGATCTTTAACATCTTATTATGATCTCAAAGAAATTTCTTTTAATATTCATTTCTTATATATATATATATATATATATATATATATATATATATATATATATATATATATATATATATATATTCAAAATTTTATATATTCTTACACTTTTAATATTTATAAATATGAAAAGAAGTTTGAATATTTAGTTTATGTAAATGGAAGATATGTTAACTTAATTAAGAAGCTTGAATATTTAGTTTATGTAAATGGAAGATATGTTAATTTAATGCTAAGAGAAAGACTAATCCTCTTTTACCTTAATCAAGTATTAATCATTTCTCCATTTTTTATTATTCCGTTTCCTCCAAGTCAAGTATTGATATTTTTTTCTAATGCTTTACTTCCTCTATGTCCCAAATTAATTTGGAAGAGATGTTGTTTTCAAGCGTTTATATACTAATATGATTATGCAGATTAAATAATAATAATATATTTTATTTTATATTTTAAACTAAATTATAAATTTTTTTATCTAATTTGATGATAAGATTAATGAGTTAATAAATTAATTTTGATCTAATTAAAAAAAATATATAATTTATCTATATACAAATAACTATTAAATTTTTTTAAATAAAAATAAAATATATATTAAATATAATAATTTAATATATAAAGTATAAAAAATATCTATTTATTTATAAGAAAAAAATAAAGAGTTTATTATTATTATTATTAATTTAAAATAATAATTTATGTTTATTATTAAATGTTAAAATAATAAAATATAAAAGATTTATGTTTATTTTTAAAATAAGTAAATATTAATAATTATTATTATTTTATAAAATAAATTTATTTATAAATTTATAAATTAATATTATTTAAACTAATTTAAATCATAAATGAGATGAAATATATTAAAATTGACTTACTTTAATTTACATTAACAAAATTTAATTTTTTAAAAATATTGTGCATAAGACTAAATTTATTTGAATTCCCCGTAAATGGTAATATCATCCACTCAAGCAATGTTGTACAGCAATAAATTCAGAAAAATACAGCCACAATTTAATCAATAATACCCCATCAAATGCCAATAATCTGCATCAATTGAATTCAATATTTAAGAAATATTGAAATATTAAAAAATATCATAAAGAAAAATTAAAGAAATTCATATATGAAAATTGTAGTTAGTACTGTTTGTCTCTTTAGATTAATATGGGCTTAATTCAAATCAATTAAATTGGCCTAGATTTGTAGTTTAATAATAGGATTCAATGGTTACCAAATTTAATATTCCAAATCAAATCAATTATGAATTTCTTTTATTACTAATTATCATATATGAAATTATCTATATTTTTTTATAATGTTTGCTGTTATTTTATACAAAAATATTATTTATTTATAGAATTGTGTACTACTTTTTTAATTAAATATTTTTTTAAAATTGAATTTATCTAGATGTAATTGAGTCCAATAGAACAAAACTACACTAATTCGTTCATGATATATTGTTTTGGTTCAGGGTTTGAATTATTATTATTCTTTTAAATTCAACCAATAAAAATTGATTTAAGATAATATTTTCTTATCTGATCCAAACCAGAACATAAATACCTAAGTACACTTAAAAAATCACATTTAACGTTGTTTTAGTTTGCTTCTAAATAAATTGCTATAGTTATTTAAAAAAGAAAAAATCAAACAAAAAACACTTAGAATAAAACATATTTTAATAGAGTAAAAAAACATATTATTTGTAGACCTTATATATATATATAAAAAAAAAACACATTGATATAATAGTCATTTAACAATTCGTAAGTTAAAAAAGATATGCTTACAAATCTGGATAAATATAATATTTGGAATAATTTATATTTAATTTATTTTTTAGTGTATACGATGAATAATACTTGACTTTGTTAACATGTGTATAATATTGGCACAAAGCAAGTTTCAGTGAAAATTTTATATACTTGTTTCGGTTCATTTATTTATTTATTGCTTTTTTAATATATTTTACTTTTACTTAGTATTAGAAACATAATTTTTTCTATATTTTTCAAATATATCACTCTTCCTAACAAGAGATAAAGTTTTATTTGTATGGAATAATATATATATATATATATATATATATATATATATATATATATATTAATAAAAAAAGCTAAAATTTAATTAAAGTAGTGAAATTTAAGTTTTAAAAGTTAATCAAAATAATTATTGCACTAGTAATAATTTAAAATTGGCAAAGCATCTATGATTAAATATAATTAATAAGATAATGTTGCTTATAGAGATATACTATTGGTTGGTGATAATCATGTATTAAATATTTAAAAATACGCACGTAAGATTAATTTAACCTTTTAAACATTTACAATAATTTTTATGTCATTATAAAACCTTACTTAATGTAAAATTATAATGTATATATATATATATATATATATATATATATATATAAATCTATCAATCAAATTAATATCAAGCAAATTTTGGGAAGCAGTATATAAATCTTTTAATACGTTTTTCCCTAAACAAGTTATGATAATTTACTATATACTAATGTTAATAAAAGAACCAGTATTAAAATTCCTATGAATGAGCAGTGCATATTTCATTGGTGAAACTACCCGAACCTATAAAATAATTTTATAAGTAATTTTTTATAAGCTAAATACAGCCTTAGTAACAAGTTTTAATAATTATAAAGTAAACACTTTTTATCACATAACAGTGACAAAATATCTATCAATTGATGACTAATTTTGGACATCTTTCATATAAGAGCATACATAAAAAATAATGTTTAAAAAGGGATGTGAAACAGACACCGGTTCACATTCTACAATTAAATTCTTATCATATGGTTGTGTTCAGTAATATTTATCATTATTGTAGACCAAAAAATTGGCAACTTGGTGTTTAAAGGGTGCCAAATAAATGTTGTTAGCCAAAAAATAACGAGGCTGACTTGATGTGGAAGATGAGCGAATGAATGAATCAATCTAAAGCATCTATCACTGCATCAGCAACCTCTTGTGTGGTGCTTGTGCCTCCAAGGTCCTTTGTCCGATATTTACCCTCCAGAATCACTTTCTTTACGGCAGTTTCCAATCGGTCAGCAAATGCAGGAAACTGAAGATGTCTAAGCATCATGGATGACGAAAGAAGGAGTGCCACAGGGTTGGCTTTCTGTTGTTCTACTACTTTCTCATTCCCGACATTTCCTGCTGAAGCACCTTGTTCGAACACAGCGTGATCAGCCCCGACGTTACCTGCAAAAGCCATGCCAATCATTTTTCGAGATATTCAATCTTATGAAAGTAGGATGAATATCATTTTGCTCAATAGGGAGGGGGAGGGAGGCAACTCTATCTGCTATTTTTGTTAAAACTTCTGCATCTTTCAGCATCACTGACACTACCACTGCCGTCACAAATAACACTCCATTCACTGACTTCACTAAGTTACTTTATCACTATCATTTGACCACAACATTACTCTCAGTTGTCTTATGTGGCCATCCACTTTCATTTTGAATTTGGTTCGGGTTAATTTTCTTTTCGTTAAACACAAATCTCTAATTTAATTCTTCTTCATCCTACCAGCTGCTCTAGCCCTATCCATCCCTGACTATCTCCATTCACTGACTTTGCTACATTAAGTTGTCACTACCATTAAACATCTCCATTACGCCTACACACAATGGCAGCAGTTGCCTCCCCGACTGCAACCGAATGTTGTGATAGACAAATAAACATCTAGTTTGAATCTGGTGACCTCTAATTTTTTTTTACAGTGCATATATAGTTTCTAATTTAAAGGACGCATTTCATTTGCAGAGTTTTCATCACAACTTTTTCCCACATATCTGACACAGTTCATGAACCCTCTGAACCTATCCATCTGACATAGTCACATCTCACAACAACAATGACAAGGAGTTATTTAATAGGTAAAATAGAAAAATAGTAACATAATCAAATTAGAATTCTAGACCTCCAATAAAGAATATACTAGTAACTAAGAACCATACCTCCCGGCATGACTCCAGTGCCTCCAGCAATACCTGCTGCTGTATTTGCAACAAGATTCCCATAAAGATTGGGGGTTACCTAGCATGTGGAAACAGTACTCGTGAACTTCAACAATCTTCTTCGGTATTATGAATGCATTCTTAATGCTTCCCCACAGGGAAAGCAAGATAAGATAAGTAACCATTCTCCCCATATTAAATATGCATACTAATTCTATCCTAAAATTAGATTAAATAAGAAAACAATCAACGCTAACAATTTAGGATGTTATCACTATTCCCAAGGCAACATAACAAAGTTATGTTCCTTTCCCTTTTTAACAAGATTCGTCGGTAGAATCTTGGCTTTGTTTACATATTTTTTTGAAGTCTTTCCTATTGCTGCTCATTTCTGAACTGATTTCTCTTGAACAATAAAACACAGAAGGAAAAGCCATAGCAATAATTCTCCCTAAGAAAAAAAGGAGAATATGAAAATACAGATGGAGTCACAAAAAGAGTACCTTATCCCACCAATAAATAGGTTAAAAAAATATTGCAAGCAAACATGTTGACCCATCGTAATTACACCGTGAATGAATTAATCAAAAGCAGATAAATAATTGAGAATCGGGATTAATTAGTAAAGTTGCATACCATGACATCAAACTGCTCAGGCTTTGAAACAAGCTGCATGCAGCAGTTGTCTACAATAATTTCATTGTACTTGATCCCAGGATACCTTGTGGCAACCTCTCGACAAGATTCCAAGAATAAACCATCTGCAAGTTTCATAATGTTTGCTTTGTGCACAGCAGTCACCTTCTTTCTATTATTTAGGTAAGCATACTCGAAAGCATATTTAGCAATGCGCTCTGAACAGAACTTTGTTATTACCTAGCAAAGTATTAGTATGAGGCGCAAACTTAAAACTTATAGTTCACGATTCCAAGGTGCTAACTTCATAATAAGATATATACATTGAAATATTACATTAAAAAAACCTAGAGAGAGAATATAAGAGAAAATTGATTGTTTATTACAAGAATAATCCCATAGAAATCAGGAAATATCTGGATCACATTCACAACTAACATGGGGCAGCTTGTACACAACTCAGACTGATGATTCAATTACTTAAGTAATTATTCCCCTTTTTTAGCATTTTAGAGGCATTCCACACATGATTCACGATTGTCATTAATATTAATTCGTTGATATATATAACTGCCCTTGGATGCAATCAAGCAATTAGGATTATTATCTAAGGTGCCCAGCTAAGATGACCTATTTCTTAAAAAAATAAGCTAACTATATAATTCCCTAGCAGCATTATCTGTGTTGTTTCTGAGGTGATCAGACTAACAACTTGACATCTGAAACCTTTTCAAACAACTCCAAGGCTTCCCAATTAATTTGAGTACAAAACTTCTCGAACCCCAGGTCAGATAGCAAGTCAAAACAAGTAAAAAAAATTCCTCAGGTCCACCCATATGTCGAGTACTCTGCCACCCACAAGCCATAACAAATCACCAAGAATCTTCAAACCAAACTGCAAGCACCTTTACTAGTTTTTCAATTTCATTCCATCTTCTCTACAACTATTCATATGATCTATGAACAAAATAGAAATAACTTAACCAAAAACAGTACAGACTGTGCCAAATGCCAAAAAGAAGCTGTAATCCCAATAAAACCAGTAAGCAATGTACTAAGGTTTTCACTTATTAATACCCACGACTCACAAATCACTCACTGCTCGGTTCAGCCATTCACGGATTGAAACTCAGCTAATTCTCATAGGTCAACGGGTCAAACCACAGACAACAACGTATAATTTAATTTAATTAATCGATAGGCAAAAGCCCACTTCCATTCTTTTCATTCTCTCAAACTCAATGCGTTGAAATAAAACTTAATTATTCAGCCTATTGTTTTGTTAGAGCACAGATAAAAAAACAAAAACAAATCGAAGGTGCTCAAACGCGAGTACCTTGAGGCTTTCGACGACGCCGGGAACGACCTCGTGTTCGAGGCCGGAATACTCGCCCTCGGTGTTCTCCCTAATGACGACGATGTCGACGTTCTCGTGGCGCGTGGGAAGGCCAGGGAGGTTGAAACAGTTAACGAGCGAGGCATAGAGATCCAGCTCCTTCCTCAGCTGCACGTTCAGCGAGCTCACGCCACCGCCCATCGGTGTCGCCAGCCCTCCCTTCAGACACACCTTGTTCTTCCTCACCGATTCCAGCACCTCCGCGGGCACTGCCTTCATGTCGCCGTGAACATCGTACTTCTCGAAGTACACAGGTGCGTGCATCGCCTCCATCACCTGCTCCACAGCGCCGGTCACCAAAGGACCGATTCCGTCGCCCGGGATCAGCGTCACGGCCCGTGGTGTGCCGTCGCCGGGGCGGGGCATATAGGTGACTGATCGGGCCTGGTTCAGGCGGGTCAGTAGGTGCTTGAGGAGCGGTGCGGATCGTGTCGTCGCCATCGACGGTGGCGTGCTAGGGTTTTCGAGTTTTGGGTGTGTTTTGGGTGCTGTGACGTGACTATGCGATCCGACAAGCCATGGAAAGGTAAAAAGGCACTGCAAAAAAACGCAGGAATAAGGGAGGGAAATTGTAGTCAGGTTATTTTTTTTAGTTTAATTTATTTGAATTTTTCCCAAAAAAATATATTATTCAAAAATCAAACCCTTCCTTCCTAATTATTTACTGCAATAAACTCGTTTTTTAAAATAAATACAAACAGCCACTCAAATGTCAACTTACTAATTTAATTAAAAAAAGTACTATAATCAATTATTTAATTATAATATTATTTTATATTAACATACATTTAAATTATTAATAATAACAATAATTTTAAGTATTATTTAAATTATTAATAACAAATTTATTAATGCATTAAACTAATATAATCCCAAAATTATCTTTATTATTAAAATAATTAAATTAAAATTTTAAATTTAATAATTTATTTAAAATATATTTTGGAAAATATTTTAAAAATTGAAAATTCTAAACATAATTTCATTATTCAGTGTTTTGGGGAATAGAGTTTACCTCTTTTTTATTTTATTTTATTTGGTTTCATCGGGCTTTTTTTAAGTAAGTATGAGTTAATATTATAGTGTGGATGTAACCTAACAAAACCTAATGTTATAACTCTTTATCTCTTTTTAACTCTTTATCTCTTTTTAAGATAAATGTGACTACTTAGCTTATAAATAACTTAAAATCAGGCTAGCTTAAATAAAGATAGTTCGAGATAAAATCAGTTATAGCAAGAAAAGTGTTCACTATAAGATTATGAGATGAACGAATCTAGCAAAATCGGTTAGACATATCCTCGTAAGCTTAAGCATGAAAGAAATTAAAGACAGGAAAAGAAATACACAAGTCCATGATAAAATTATGAGATGGCTGAATCTGGCAGAGCCGGTTATACATCTCCTCGTAAGCTTATATGAACACAAAATAAAATTGTAAACAAAATTTTAAACCTTTAAATAATTATTGCATCTTTTAATAAATACCACTTAAGGCATCCGAGGACGCCCTTATAAGAAAATTACTCCATGAAAGAGTAAAGAGAACTTACTCGAGAGAGGGGAATGAGAAGGAGATGGGAGATGCTGAATATATTTATCTTATTGATATAGTAAAATTTACATAAGAGGGAAGGAGGAGAGGGAGAGGGAGAGGGAAACTCTTGGAAGGAATGTTTATGTCCAGCATAAGCATTATATAGAAAAATAAAAATATTAAAATAATAAATAGTAATTTTACATGTACGACTCATTTTATAACTTATAAGTCTCCCTAAAAGACAAAAATGAATAATAATATTAATTTTTAATTTTTTTTTTTACATTTATCAAAAGATTGATTCAATCTTTTCGTTATTAACATACAAGATTTAATGATCTAATAATATGTAACGGAAGAGGAATCGTGACAAAATAACAAAATATCATTATCTATCATTAACTTTTATCATTTTTAATACATCTATATTACGTTAAGGCTTACATAATGAGAAGCTATACATTCATCTTAATGTAAAATATGACACATTAATATTAATTTTATGATTGCATATTAACGTCGTACATTTATTTTTTTCCTATAAAGATATTCAAATGATAAAATTAATTTATTTTAAAAGTAATGGATTATACTGAGACTAAAACTAACAATAAGATAAAATAAAAATATAATAAAAAAGTCATTTAATTTAGGTGTATGTTGATAAATAATTAAAAAAAGACTTTTGGTTTTTAAACTTTGTATGTAATAGATTAATTTTAAATTATAATTTATTTATTTAAGAAAAATATAAAAAAATTATATTAAAATGATATATGTAGAACGAAACTTTGTGATTTTAAATATATAAAAATAACTCTTTAAAAATACAGCTAAATATTTAAATTTCTTATTACTATGAACTAAAAAATGACTTATAAAAAATAAATATGTAGAAAAAACGAATTGAAAAAAAAATATTAAAGTTACATAATAAAAAATATTAAAAAATTTACAAGAAAATTGAAGTTTGCAAAATAATGCTTCTAGTTTAAATTTTCAATATTTTTGAAGTTATTTTTTTCATCACTGTAAAATTCAAAAATCATTACTTTTAATTCTTATAAAAATTGTAAATTTTAATTTAATTTATATGAAATATATTTTATAATTTTCATTTTTAAATTTTAAGTTATTATTTGTAATCCCTAACAAGAAAAATTTAATTTAAGATAGATAATTTTAACATGTTAAATGCTGACAGTGACATTACTTAACATTAATTTTTTAAAATATAATTAGTTAATTAATATCATATAATTTTAGAATAAAAAGTGTAACAATTTTCAGTTTTAAATATAATATAAAGAAATAAATTTATTGAAAAAAAAAATTTAAAGGCGCTAAAATAATAAGCCGTGTTTGATAATTATTATTATATTTATTATTATTTTTTTTACTTTCTTTGTAGTTTACTTCTCCTACTTTTATTCATTGCAGGTTTTGTGCCGTGATGGCTACGACAATAATAATTAACTAAAAAGAAGAGTAAAGTTAAAAAAAAACAAAAATACTACCACATTCTGATGGAGCCTACAATAGAAACACTAGTCACTGACCGATATTTTGGGAAATTCAGACTATTATAATATTTTTAAAGTTTTTTTAATTTTATATTTTATTTTTTAAGTATTAAATATATTTATAATTATATTTTATTTATTATTTATTAATAATATATTACACGATCCGACGCTCACCATCACCATGGTTATATATATATATATATAATCTTTGTCATTAGATGAAAAATGATTGGACGAGAAATAAAAAGCGTTGTGATGGAGAAAACATTTAACCACTACCTAGCTTTATTTCTTTTGGACACTTCCATCTACGTCGTGTATAGAATTAAAAATCCATTTACAGTCATCAACTTCGTTGTCATTAGGTAAGACTTCATTTGTCCATGCATTGTTGAAAATAAGAGCATCATTCTTGTTGGCTTGGAACCATTTTGGTTTTGTTAGAGCCTTTTTACTAATGTTGTTTCTATCGTATGATCATAGTTAACTTGTATGACAACAATTGTATATGTTTGTTTTTTTAGGTTTGAATATTGCAACATTTGCTCTTATTCTCATAGGATAAACAAGATTGACGTATAATGATTGAGAACTACAACTTACAAGACTTCAACACATTCTAAACCCTAAACCATCATCTATTTTTATATTTTTTGAACTAGTATAATTTTCATGGACAAATTAGCACCACCATTGATGATGTGATGTGAGGCTCCATTGCCGGGATGACAGAAAGGCTCCAAAACAATGGAGGGAGTGATCAGCATGGATGTAATCTCCTAATTTTCTCTACGACCTCTAAAATTATAATATTTGTTTTTACCTTAGTTGTATTGTAATGGTCAAGAAACAATCTTAGCATGAATAAAATTTTGGTCAAATCTTCTATGTTTTTTAAAACATTCTTGTTAAACCAGCAACAAAGCTTCTATTTCATCTACTATACAAGGATCTAATCATGATGTTTATATATCAATCTTTTAAATGTGACAACTCTATCAATCTTTTAAATTATGTCTAGACAAATTGTTTTAATTCGTATTATTCTTTAGTTTTTTTTTTTTTAATGTCCTATAATCTCGTAAGAGTTTCATGTCCACACATTTTTAATCTCGTAAGGTTAAGTCATATTTATTATTTTGATAGTAGTAATCATGTTTATTGATGGTGGGACCCTGATTTTAGTTGGAAAAATGTATGTAGACGTTTACAAGAACACATACAATAGAAGGTAGTGATGTTCATCTTTTACTGTGTATATAAAAAGGAACAAAAGAATAAAAGAATCCAAAAGGAATCACTTATGTTCACGGTCACGAAGATTTTTTAGCATCAAAGAAAAGTGGTGGAGTTGTGGAGAATTGACGATTGCTCTTCCACTACTTTAAGCTACTTAGGACAAGACATCTTCATGTTCTCTAGATTTTGTTAATAATTGTTTTGTCGTGTAATAGTTTATTGTGTTCAATCTTTCGGTGTGTCAAGTTGAACTACTTGTGGTTTTTTTTTTTTTCCTGTTTTTCTTTTTTCCATTTTGTTTTGGTGTTCATGGTGTTTTATTCCAAGAGTGAAAAATTTACTTAATATATTGAAATTTCATTTAATAACTTTAAGGAATAAAAATATTAAAATAAATTCATTTGTGAGGTTGAAATATGTGAATAAATAATATTTAGTATTCATTTATTATTATTATTATTATTATTAGTAGTATAGTAAAAGGGAGTATCTCTCTTCTTTGATTTCATTGTTCATTTCATACACCACTTTTTAATTGGGGTATTGTCTGAAATATATTTACTGTTAAATAAAAAATTATGTTGATTCCAATAAAAGGTTATTTTAGAATTTTGTGCAAAATCGATATAATGAATTAATAAATATTAATTTTCAAATATATATTTCTTACCACTGGACTTAGTGATATAACCATCTTATTGACTAGCTAAACAGTTATGAATTGTTCTTATTTTATGCTATTAATTACAGGTATATTACAGTATAATAAAAATTAAAATTATTAATAAAATATAACAGTGTACTCTTTATTCTTTTATGGAAAAGAAGAGGCGCTAAAGGTAGGGACATGCATAATAACATTACATTATCATTGATCGGTGGGAATTGGAAAGTTGTCTCCTCATGTTGCATATCCTCAACCATTCATAATGCCACATTTATTTTGATGTAGTTGCAGCATTTTTGTCATGATTCACCTCTTCCTTTGTTATTATCATCATCACGCACTTACTCTATATTCTTCCAACACAATTTTTCTTTTATTAGTAGTATTATTAGCACCGTCGAAATCTTAATAGGTTATACAGGAATTAAATTTGATGTCACTCGTTCCACTTTTTCTGTATGTGAGAACAGTTACGGCTGTTAAGGGGTGCGAAACGCAGCATAAACACCACCAGGAGAGGACCACCTCAATCTCACGACGGTTTCTCTTTCTCTCTCGCTTCTCTTCCCTCCTATTTCAACCCCTGCCATGGCTTGTCTGAGCCGTCACCACCACCGCGCCTGGATCAATACCCAAGACATGCTCCAACGATGCCCTCTCCCCGCCCACCACCGCTGTCTCCGCGATGACGCCGACGCGGACCCCATTTGCCTTCCCCTTATCTCCTCCGCATACCGCCTCTTCCCCGTCTACGCCATGGGCTGCCCCGACCCCTACCCCACACCCGAACCCGAATTGGACGGACCCGACCCTATATGGAACGCTGTCAGAGACGAGGCCAAGCTCGAGGTAAACTCAATTATCTCACTCTTTCTTTTTTATTCAATTGCATTTATTGTGTTTGTGAAATTGTGTAACTGTGTGTGTATGTATGTATGTACGTGCAGGCGGAGAAGGAGCCAATTCTGAGTAGCTTCTTGTACGCTAGTATTTTGGCGCATGATTGCTTTGAGCAAGCATTGGCCTTTGTCGTCGCTAACCGTCTCCAAAACGCCACTCTCTTGGCGACTCAGCTCATGGATATTTTCTGCAATGTCATTCTGCATGACAAACCTATCCAACGATCCATTCGCCTTGATGTCCAGGTCTTCCTTTTTATTTTCTTACATTTTTAGTCTCTTCATCCAAATTGTATTATCATTTTAGTTCACTAATATCAATTGAACTTGATTTATCCATTTTTAAAAATTTAGCAGAATACTCAACATGACATCGGCCAATCTCGTTTTTCATTTTCATGTTATGTAAAGTCCGGTTTTTGTCACTGTCGTTCAAATGTTCTATGTTTCTTACCCAGTGCACTGTACCCACCTACTCACTCTCATCATGTTATGCGCAGTGTGCTGCTGATTTCATTAAATATTTAAATATTGGATAGAGTTTAAATGGAAGGACTTGACCAACTTGAAAGATTCAATTAGAACAATTAAAATGAGAAAGCTAAATCACGCATCGTTTATATCAGAAAGACTAAAATTTTAAAATTAACCTGCTGAATGCCAGATACTGATTAAGAAATTAAAAGTGAAAAGTTTATTTTTATTGGGAAGCATAAAAATCAACTCCCCCCAATGAATTTTAATATGCTCTCCCTTAACTTCTAGGAGTATTTTTTTTTTTAAATTTGTTTAGACATTGATTAACAAAATCCAAAAAAAAAATGCAATAAGTCTATGATGTAACGCTTGTTGTTTAAAGTGTTTTGGGTGGTGCGTGAGTTATTTGAATTTTTTTGTCGGTGCTGTTTTCTGAACAGGCATTTAAAGATCGGGACCCTGCTTGTTTGTCGTATTGCTCCGCACTTTTGTACATGAAGGTAGCTCTTTCTCTTCCAGTTTCCAGTCCTGATACAATGCTGAGTTCTAATGCACCATTTATATAATTAAGTGTTACTCCTCGGAGATGGGACTTGATTGATTTTTCAGTCTCCTTGAAAATGATTCTTATGAGTGCAAGCTTTTTTGTGATAGTAAAGTTTGACTGACTTCAGGAACGCCTTTTTATCTTGTTTATAATGGCAAAAAAAATAAAAAATAACAAACACTTTGACGTTTGATGCTGTGCTATGTCTACAGGGTTATCATGCTCTGCAAGTATATCGAATAGCCCATGCATTGTGGCACCAGGGACGCAAAGTCTTAGCCCTGGCTTTGCAAAGTCGTGTTAGTGAGGTAGTTTTCTAGTTGGTTAACATTGATGAATCTCATAAACACAAGGAAGTTTCATTTTTCTGATGCTGATAATGGAAGCCCTTGTCTTTTACCAAGCAGGTTTTTGGAGTGGACATTCATCCAGGTATATTGGTTTCATTGTTGCTTGGAAATGTATGTTAAGTTAAGAAAAAAAGTGACATTCTTTATGTTTGTATGGGATAATTTTGCTTTAGGAAATGTCAGAAAAGCAATTAATTAACTGTTATAAATTTCTATTAGTATAAAAGCAATGTATTGGAGCAAAGAGATTACAAAAGCAGAATGTATTCTCGAGGGTTCAATCTTTAATTCTTGGTGGCACTTAGATAATTGATTTCTTTACTTATCATTTTATAATAAGACAATAATTTGATTTCTGTCTGTAAGGACGTTTGTTTGCCTCTGTATTGAAGATATTGAAAGCTCTTTGGTTTTTCATTATTGTTATTATTGAACTTTGTGTTCTTATGGTTTCTTTACATAGCTGCGAAAATTGGGGAGGGAATTTTATTAGATCATGGGACAGGTGTGGTTATTGGTGAAACTGCTATTGTTGGAAACAGAGTTTCATTGATGCATGTGAGTTGTGATTCTTCATTAATTTCTTTTATGATTATGTTTTGCTAGCTCTTATACAAACAATAATCATCGCAAATAAATTAGCTTTTCAATTATTTCCTAAAGGATGTCACTTTAACATATTTGGATATACATGTTCTCAACAGCTTTGTATTTTCTACAAAGAGACAGGCAATAAACAGTTAACAACTTTTTATATTTTTATGATTTTGTACAACTATCCTGAAAACAGTTTCTGAAAGCTTATCCGATTCTACTTTTCAACTCTGCTTCTATTTTCGTTATTTCTCAGACGAGAAAAATTGATTTATAATACTATTATTATTTAGAATTAAAACTATTTTTTAAGCAATGATATTTTTTACACGCCTATTCATTATGCTCTTTGCATGGTATATTTCATTTTGACAGGGTGTAACATTAGGAGGCACAGGGAAGGAAATAGGAGATCGCCATCCCAAAGTAGGTGAAGGGGCACTAATTGGAGCTAGTGCAACCATACTTGGGAATATAAAGATTGGTGAAGGTGCGATGATAGCTGCAGGTTCCCTCGTGTTAAAAGATGTTCCTCCCCACAGGTACCAACGAATATATTTTTCACACAATGTTTAATACTTGCAGCTTCTGCCTGGATTCTTTTTTGCTATAAAATGTGATGTTTCTCTTGTTGTTTGTGCTTTGTTTTGAAGCATTGCGGCAGGTATACCAGCTAAAGTTATTAGTGGTCTACAGGAGCATGACCCATCTTTAACCATGAAGCATGGTAAGAAACACTTGGAGCATGACTTACCTTGAGAATTACTTGTCTCTCTCTCTTGTTAAAGATAAGGGGCTTCAGCCCAAAATCTTCCATCTATTTTTGTCCCGTGATCCGTCTACCAGTCTACTTGGACATTTCTATTACAATGAATTGGCCTAAAGTTGTTAACATATGCTTACAGGGAATGTCAAATCCCTTTCTTACTATGAAAAATTGACAACAGTTTTTTAATTCTTATTATAAGAAATTTACCAATAAAAAAGCCCCTTTCATCAAACATAGTACTTTGGTGAATGTTTGATTTTATTTCGGATCAAGTCAAATGCGCCCCATGTTTCCCTTCTAAACTGATGTCACTTTGAATCACTTCTATTTCTTCACGCCCGAAACGTGGATATAGAGCTCCAAACGCCAAACGAAACATGCACTTAGTACTTATTGAATATCCTACTTTGTTGTCAAAATATTTCAGTGTACATGTCATGTCATCCTTATATTCTGCTTAATTTTTGTTCTGGTGATTCTGCAGATGCTACTAAAGACTTTTTCACACAAGTAGCTACTAACTTCAGAGATGAAAAGCCCAATGGTTAGCTCTCTTCTTGTCTTATAATCTTGTTAGATTATGAGAAAATAATTTCACTAGACTAAAAAGTTTCAATGCTTCAAATGATGAGTCTTTGCATGTTGTTTACCAAGCTTTATCAGTTTCCCTCCTCTTATCTATCTAAAATCTAAATATCTTAAAATATTTCAGGATCTCAAAATCCAGATAAAAATGAAGTAAACAATTGAGAGGTTCCGCAGCGTAGATCTCATTTGGCATTCATTAACTTCAAAAGAAGGATGATGTTATCAATAATATTAGAATCAAGATCAGTTAAAAATGACAAGGTGGATTTCGTATATCAATGCTACTATATACTTTTCATAATTACAATTTGTTGCTTCCAAGTGCTGGAGTTATTGCACCTGTATAGCAAATATCTATAGATAAACTTAGAAACAGATGTTACTTGATCAAAGCTTCTGCATTTTAACTTCATTTTTTTGTCTGGTAAACATTGTGGGATAGGTCTTCAAATATATCGTTGATTTAGATTTCTGCCACGTAGTTGAAAATCAAACTTTTTGTTAATGTATAAGACACTTCTGTTTATCTTTTTTCGCACAAAAGAAGTAAAATATCCTTTTTCATGTAGTATATAATTTCGCAATGAATATGAATTATTTATTTTAACTTTAACCAAAATAAATTTTAAAAAATCCTGTTTAAAATTAAGTTTATAACAATATGATGTATATTATATATCAAGTTTCTTTGTTTGAGTTAATTTTGTATTTTAATTTTTAAAAATATATTGAGATTAATTTTAAAAAATTGTTTTTGAAAATAAATTAGAAAAAAGTTGTTTAATAATTTTATTTTTAAAATCTATTTTAAATGAAAGAAAATGAGATAAGTGATCATAAAAAATTATGAAAAAAATTTGGAAAATGATTTTAATAAAATAATTTTAAATAAAGTAATTTAATAGAATTACAGATGAAAATATTATTATTCATTAATAAAAATGTAAAATTAGAATAAATAATATTTTTATTAGTTTTAAAATTTTAGTTTTTAAAATAAAAAATTAATTTTTTTAACCAAAGTATTAATCTTTTTTTAATTTAAAAAAATATAAATGTTCTTTTAATAATCGAAACAACCGATTTTATTAATCTAATAATAGCATTTATTATTTTACTGGATACCACATTTTTTTCCCATAATGTATTTTCTTTACCAAAATGATATATCGTGTTTTTAAAAAAAAAAATTAATTGTATCACGATTTTTAAACTACTAAAATAATATGTTTTAAAAAAAATAGTATGATGGAAGTTAGATGACACAAATTTCTAGGTATAGCATAAATGCCTTTCACAGGTCCAACACAAAAAATGGATTTACACCGTATAGATTTTTAATATATATGTTATTTAGTAATTTAAAAAGTAAAATATAGCATTTTGGTAAAATAAAAATTCTTCAATACTAAACGAATTTGGATAATTTATTTGATATTTAAATCGAGTAGACATAAATAAAATATAGTGTATGAGATACTTCTCATCTTTTAAATATAAAATATAAATTTATTATATTATTTTATATTTAAATAACTTACATTGATTTTGATTCAATATAATCTGGTTTAGAAATTTTTAAAATTTTTTATTCTTTATCTCATTTATTCAATTTTGGAAGTTAATTTACGAGTAAACTCACAAATAATTTTAAATAACTTATCCCTTAAAATTCTTCTAATAAAAAAGGTTATTTGAAACCATTAGATCTTTACTTAAACATTTTAATAAGAAGATGTATCAATTAACATAAGATCTAATAATTAAATAAAACATTTAATTCAACTATTTAAAATTTTAGTTTAACATAAGTTATAACAATTCTTTATTCGTTAATATTAATATAAAAAGTCACTCATTATATATATATATATATATATATATATATATATATATATAAAGATGTAAAATATATTTTTTAATGTTTTTAATATTAATTGAACAGTTTAATGTAACTTTTCTACTTTTTCTAATTTATCACTTGTAAAAATTTTTGAATTTTAATATCTTTTAGAAAGTTATCAGTATTTAAAAATAACAATATAAATTATTTATTATAATTATATTTATATTTATTATATTTTTAATTATAATACAAGGATACATTGCTAGTCTGTTTTTTCACTAAAAAAAGTTGTAATAAGCACAAAATAAAATAAAATATTACAATAATAATCCTATTTTTTTGTTTTTTTCATTTTTTATATTTTGTTTAATTCAATTTTTTCCCTAATTAACATAATAAAATTTGAATTATACTAACTTCCATTATTAACCTTTTCTTCTGGGTCTAGTTTCTCCTCGTATACAAAAAATAATTTTCAGCATTTAAATATAATATTTTATATTGTTACAAACATGGAATTGTGATAAATACATTTTAATCTAAATCTAAATTTTATAATTTCTAACACTCAAATTAGTACGAGCACGATTTCGGAAATACCCTCGTCGAATCAAAATATTACATCATTATTCTGGATCCGAATCCTCCTCCCAAGTTCGTAATAGATAGTTCCTGGGACATTCTGAAACGGCAGCGTTTTCTGCTTTCCTTCGCGTGTACGCCGGCGTGAGATCCATTCTGCCACCGGCGATCTCACTTCCACCGGCGCTTCCGGCGTTCTAATCGATTCGACGTCGTTTATTTGCCAAATTACTTCCTCCTTCATTCTGTAACACAGGTTTCCCACGCTCAGGTACATTCTGTTGTGGAACTTTCACTCTTGGATATTTCGCCTAATTCAATGTCATTACTTCTTGTTGAAATCTAATTCCGTTGCACGCATTACAAGGTTTTCAGGAAAGAGAATCAAATGCCACCTAAATTGAGCTCTAGTTTAGGTTCTCTCTGGCTAATTACGTAACCTGTTTATTTCTTATCGTGAAAAATCGTGATTGATTCGCTTTTATGGATTTTCCTATGTGGAGCATTTCAATGTTAAAGTGGAAGTAATTGAAATATTTTTATGCATTATTTGCCTTTGGAGTGATTTGTGATTGATGTTTTAAATAATACGTGCGTGTTGATGTTATGTATGTTAGGCGCTTCATTATTTAAATCTTTTAGTAATTATGAATCAATGCGCGGTTGAAAGTTTGTGTCTGTATTTCGTAACATAGTGGGTTCATCATGGTTATTAACTGTCCAATTGCAGCTTGCAGCTTATGCTGGTAAGACTTGTGTTGCAAGAGGTTGATTGCATCCGGTGAAGGGGAAACTGGTGGAATGATGGACACTCACGCAGAAGATTCTGTTAGATCCGAGGAGCATTTGCCTGATGAGGATCATCATACCGAAGATGGAAGCAATGGAAATCTTCTATTGGAAAATGGATTGTCTGATGGCAATCAAGGTCCTGCTGAGACTCACGATCAGCTTCTACAAATGGTTATGGACCTCAGGTTTCAGAATGACTACTTGAAGTCCCAGTTTGAGGGATTTAAAAATGTAAACAGTGTAAATAGTGATTCTAGCATACAGAAAGGAGTTGGTGGATTGGAAGATGCGGATTCTGACTTTGTTAAAGAACTAAAGGAAAAGATACAAGTATTAAATAAAGAATTTCTGGAAGAAAAACAAACAAGAATTGCATCAGAGGAGGCTTTGAAGCATCTTCAAATGGCATACTCAGAGGCAGAAGCAAAGGGTCAAGAGCTCTCTGAAAAGCTTGCAGAAGGTCTGGTAATTACTGTGTTAAAAAGTGAAAGTGATTCATCAATTATAATGAACAAACTTGACTTACATTAAATATTACTGTTTGAATTATTACTTGTTTGAAAGCCAGTTTTGCCTCTAAAACCAATTCCTTAACTTACAGATTGGATTATTTTCCCTCTTGGAGTTTAAGAATGATATAAACATAAACAATAGTGGCTCTTGAAATCATATGGTCCACAGAGAATTAACGTTGCTCTAAACGGGTTTATCTTCTGTAGAATGAACGAATTGCATTTCTGTTTCATGTGTAGCTCAAACAAAGTTGGACCAAGAAATAAAAGAGCGCGATGAAAAGTACTCTGAACTTGACTCCAAGTTTAACAGGCTTCACAAGCGAGCAAAACAGCGCATTCAAGAAATTCAAAAGGTGAATTTTTTCTAAATTATTTTCTTCATTTTAATTTTCTTATGCTGATATTGTGTATATTTTTCTAGAAGCGATACTATTTGTAAAATCTTTTATGACAAACTGCTGATCTAGTGGCCATACATAAGCTTCCCCGTCACTTCCTCTAAAATTTGTGCAGTGTAGCCAAAGTTAATAGTTTGTGTAAAATGGTATACTCTCATGATAGAAATTTTGTACTGAGAGTACATTTTCTGTCTTTAATGATGAACTCTGGACCCCAGAATTATTGTGTAAGCACAACAAGTCAGGAAGTTCCTGTTTAGTGCTTCAACAAAACCCATCGAAATAAAATCCTAATGGCACTTCACTGGATTATTTTATGTGTTTTGTCTAACTTGGGAAATTTCATTCATAGGAAAAAGATGATCTTGAAGCCCGTTTCTCTGAGGTAAATGAAATTGCCGAGCGAGCATCATCTCAACAGTCAGCAATGCAACAAGAATTAGAGCGGACTAGGAAGCAAGCAAATGAGGCATTGAAAGCCATGGATGGTGATAGACAACAACTAAGAAGTGCAAACAACAAGTAAGGAAACCAATTTGCTTTTCCTCATGATGATTTATGTGTACATCCATTAGATGGAAACTTGTGTATGTTTAGTTGTGTGTCATGAGAAGTTATGTTTCACAATTATCTTATATTTTAGGGGACTGAAATGAGAAATAATAAGTTGTGGTTGTAATAGGTCATCAACACCTCATTTAAAGGTTATTTATGCTGCAATGATTAGCAACAACTTCTACGACCTTTAATTTGACCCCATTTTTTATTCATGCATGACTGGTTTTGCTCCTTTTCATTTTAAAGTTCAATTATGAAATGCAAAGAAAGACACATGCATGGGATGTACTTTTTTTCACCTTCATATGTGTTGAGTTCAGTGTGCCTTATTGATTAAGAATGTTGTCATAAATATAGTATAATATGTCATAACTAATTGTAGTTGTTTGAAACTAGATGCCAATATAGACCATGGACTTGCTTGGATGAGTTTCTCCATAAGGACTTCTAGGTCAAAGGAAAAAATGAAATTGACTTCTCCATAAGTTAAAATTAGTTAATTAAAAAGTCAAAAATAAAAACTTGAGGAGCTATACGAGAGGAAATTCTACAAATTAGTTTATGCATAAAATAATTTTAACTTATGAAGAAGATAATTTCTTTCTTTCCTTCATATTTTTTTCTTGTATAAATCCTTATAGAAAAGTTTGTCCAAATAGGTCCTATGTGTATACTCACTCTAACAGCCATTTGTAATTATTGATGTAAAATTCTATGTTGCCAGTCTTCGAGATACCATTGAAGATTTAAGGCGTTCATTGCAACCTAAAGAGAGTGCTCTTGAGGTATTGCAACAGTCACTTGCAGAAAAGGAACAGGTACACATGATTTCTTCATTTTCATTACTGAAGTGTTTATTTCTTGCTGATGTTTGTGTATGTAACTTAACTTCATAATCTATTTATAGCTGTAAACTAAATAAATGGTGCTTTATATTTGTCTTATTAATACTTAGCAAATTGAATTGTATACCCAAATTGTCTCTCAGGTCCTGAAACATTTAGGACAAAATATATCCATATTTGCCTTTTCATTGGAACATATGTCTATCCCAATTCTTTAAACGCTGTTCTGGACTGATTCCGTTGGGATCCTCTTATGTGACAATACAGTATGTTAGGAATTAAATCTCTCTTTGTCAAATTTTAATGTTTTTCCTGATTCTTTATGACATTTTAAGGTCCTATTACCGTTACTTTTGTCTGCAGTAACAACTGTTCATCAAACTTTTGTGTTAGTTTGGTAGCACATCATTTAAAAGTGGCTATAAATAACTATGATCCTTGAATAAAATTAATAACTCAGATGTTGGAAGATATGAGAGGGTTGCTTCAGGCTGCTGAAGAAAAGAGGCAAGCTTCACTGGTTGAGGTCTCAGCTAAACATCAAAAGGTACATCTGCTCTTGCATTTTCAGCTAACTGTTTTCATAGTTTATCTTTTAGGAGGACACCTTATCCTTGTATATTCCTTCACCCCTCATCCATTTTCTTCTTTGACTGAATAAAAGATATTATTCTATAATCTGTTCTCTGTATTTAGAATCTAGTTGTGCTTTGGCTTCAACTCAATGTTTGTTTGTGCAGAATATAGAGAGTTTGGAGGCTCAACTTAATGATGCATTTTCAGACAGAAATAAGGCAACTGAATCCATTGCTTCACTGCAGGTGAGTTCAATGATCATGAGCTTTGTCCATACTTGATGTGGTTTAAGATGGGGATAAAAAGACGCTGTTGAGTTGAAAATTGTGTTCCATGAGCTGGTTGAAGGAACGATGATTGCTGCATTTTAAAGATTATTTATATAAAATTGTCTTATTGTAGTTTATGGTTAGCTTTTTTAGTGACCAGCTTCTTTTAAATAAATGTCTGCCAGTGCCTAAGGTAACCAGACCATATATAGGTGGATTTGGGATCAGAGACCACCAACCAATCTAATTTTGTAAAGATTCAGCCTTTCTTTTAAGCTGTTACTAGGCCTTAAATTAATCTGATTGGAGTCATTTGAGGATGAGCTGCATCAACTGATGGGTTTCTTATTCTTGGACATTTCATATAAACTTGTTAGTGTCTAGCATGCATTTTTTCTTGAATATTTAACTTAAATTTAAATTCAACAATTCATGTGTAGCACATATTGCTGTGCATATTTAACTTAAATTTAGCAAGTTAAATTCTCTCTGAAAATGAAGTTTGCAGTCAATGGGATAATTTTATAGGTAACTAAATGAGTTGTAATAGAAGAATAAAAGTTTTTTTCTGGGTTGATTAAGTGGTTCCAGTCAGTTCATATATAAGTAAATGTGCTCCTAAACATGTCAGAAACTTCCTGCTGATGACCTGACCTTGCTCAATCCATGAATGCCTCCAGGTTCTAGTTGCAGAAAAAGAATCCAGAATTGCAGAGATGGAAGCAGCATCAACTGGGGAAGCAGCACGACTCAGAGCAGCTGTGGAAAGTGTGAAAGGAGAGCTGTCTCACCTAAAAGAGGAGCATGTATGGTCCTGACTTCTAAATGTGTAAATTAGTGTTCTACTGTGTTGATTTCTCTTTTTTTTTTTTTTATCCCTTTTCCTTAGCCAATAATGTTTGTTGGGACATTATACATATATTCTGACATACTTTTGACCTTTAAATTTAAACAATGCACAAAATCAGTTGAATAATGCATAAATCCAATTTTAAAATTAATAGAAAATAAAATACTCAGAAAGTACATAATATATGACTTATTTTAGACAATGAAGCTTCTATCTAGTTGTGTGTAATGTCTCGTTTGGCAACTATTTTGTCTGTCCTTATAAACAACTTGAATCTGCTAAATAACTGACTACAGAACTACTTGAGGGGCGTTTTTGTCTCTCGTAAACATGGAAGCATCTGGAATTAAAATTAATTGATCATAAATGACCATGTTTATGCAAATTTAAATGATGTATTAACTTCTGCATTACATTTGTTGAAATGAAGAATGTTTTCTGTTAAGGTTCCAACATAAAACCAATTGGCAATTTGTAGAGTAGCCTAACATATATTTAAACCATACTAAATGACATGAGGTAGGCGATGTGGGACTTCCAACACGCCCCCTCCAGCGAAGCCTGCCGGACCAGGCAAAGGGTACTTTTGACCCAACTAAAGGGCAACTTTTGACCCATGACAATAACCGGAAAGATATTAGGCTTTGGCTCTGATACCATGCTAAGGTTCTAACATAAAACCAATTGACAATTTGTGGAGTAGCCTAACATGTATTTAAATCATACCAAATGACATGAGGTAGGCAATGTGGGACTTCCAACATTTTCCTTAACTAATTATTTGGGTTGAGCTTTCCCCTAAAATTATGCTTGTAATATCAGGAATGAAGTTGCCCATAATGTGTTTACTTCTCAGAAGTTAGTTAACTAAAACACTTATTTAGATGTTCAATCACTTCATTCAATTCCTCAATGATTTATCTTGCTGAGCATGGTCTTCAATTTTTACGTGTGTTAATTTAATTGTCATAAATGTTCTTTCCCTTTATAAATGGAAGAAAATTGTGGTTTTAAACATCTGGGGTGCCTTTTACTGGAATTGATTTCGGCACAGGCAACATGGAGGAGTATTTAATAAGAAATGGGAATGTTTGGAAAATTTTGGAGTTTTGTTTCTGGACTTAATGTGGTTTGTAATTTTTTCTCTTTATTCTTGATCGGTGTTTAGGAAAAAGAAAGGGCAAGCTGGGAGACTGCTTCGCAGGCACTTAAAGCAAAACTCGACATTGCAGAGAGCAACTGCATACGTGCAGAAGTTGAAGTAGCCAAAATAAGAAGTACTTTTTAATCCTTCTCTAAGCTTTCCGTTCATTTTATTATGCTTATTATGCTTTTGACAATGGTCAGGTCAGCTGGAATCAGAGGTATCCGCAAAAACAAGGATCCTTAATATGAGAGATGTGGAATTGTCGGCTGCCAAGAAAGAGGTTCCAATTAAACTTCTGTCACTAATAAGCTGGTAGAAAATTAAACATTAAATATTAATGTTGATCAATAGCTTATTCTTGTAAGCTTAAAGAGTGTCAAACAGTTCTTTATTGAACATCAGCATATTTTCTTATTAGAAATAAGAAAGTATGCTACGGGATAATGTGATGTCATATAGAACCCCTGCTCCAAGGGACAATCCTTTTTCTAAGTTGTATCTGGTATTATTCAGTAATAGTAACTTGATCCAGTTTGAGGTTTCTGTTGGTATATTTGATCATAGAATAGGCAGTACTAGGATGACAAGGTAGTTATTACTTTAAAGAATTTAATATTTTTATCTCTTTATATTTCATAACAATACAGCCTATAATTGAAAAATGTTTATTGGAAATATGGTTTGTATTCAATTCACATCCTTGAATGGTTGTGGATAAAACCCTTGGCAGCAGACAAACACAGACAAGACACATCATTTACAACACTACATGTCCGCTGTTTGATTTGAGCTTTTGTGCCACTGCAGATCAGCTCTCTAGAGAAGGAGTTTTCTTCATACAAAGTTCGAGCACATGCACTTCTTCAAAAGAAGGATGCTGAACTGGCTGCTGCTAAAGATTCTGAACAACTCAAAGCTCTAGAGGAAACTCTGAAAGTATATTTTATCAATCTTTTGTAGAAGACATTGTTCAAGTAATGTATATAAATTAATCACCAATTACATTCTTAATTTTCTTCAGGAGGTTGAAAATGAAGTATTATCAATAACAGAAGAAAGGGATAAAGTTCTTCAAGATCTTCAATCTGCCATGGCCAATCATGAGAAAGAACTTGCAGAAAGGTGTCATTTATTGACAAATCCTTAGGGGCTTGTCTGCCTGATTTTGAATACTAGATAACATAATTGGAAATAAAGATGAATCACAAGTATTTGATTTTGTGATAAACTCGCATTACTCATTATTTGTGCTTTTATGGTTTGAATTAAAAGTTGGATACGCGGTGGTAATCTCCTTTCTTTCTGTTGAATGTGGAGCAGTCACAACCTCTTATTTTATGAATTTCAGAGACACAGCCCTTGCAAATGTCAAGCAACAGATAAGGAGCTTAGAAATAAAGCTTGACTCAGTTAATGCTCAGCACCTAAGAGAGAAAGAGGAATGGGGACTAAGTCTTCAAAATGTAGAAGAAACATGGAGAAGTAACACACTCTGCTACTTGGTTAAATTGTTGCTTATACCTTCTTTGATTCTCTTATCTGTATGAATTTGGTTTAAGATGTTAACTGAGATCAAACTTTGCAGTCAAATTCGAGGCAATGAAGGCTGAAAATGAAGCAATTGCTACAAAAGATAAGCAAAAGGAATTGGAAGAGCTCAAACAGCAATGTAAAAAACTGAAGGTAATCTGCAGATTATTAAACCTGTGCTTGGATTCCCTATTTCCTGTCTGTCGTGCTAACTGGATCAATAATTTGTAGGATGAGCATGCTTCATTTCAGAATCTTGCTGATAGAATGATTGAGGAGAAAGACTATGAAATATCCAGACTTTTAGATGAAAATAAGAATCTTCGGCAGTCTATTCAATCAAGACCATCAGTATGTTTTTTATCTGCATTTTCAATCATGAGATTTAAGAGATTGATCCTGTACTCATCATTTTCATGGTTTGGTATTTTCATTCTGCTGTCAAATGATGCCAGGTCGATCAAAATGATAATTATACAACAGGTGTTAATTTATTTTTAGTATGACATTAGTTGTTCCACTAGCAAAGTTTCTTTTAAGTATCTCTTTAAGGTTTTGAATACTTTATCAAATTGTTGCTAAATGCTTTCAACTGTTATGTACAGCCTTGCATAAATCGGATTCAACAAATTTGAGCCCCTCAGCTGCAGAACAGCAAATTTTGGTATGGCACTTTTCATTTTCAATTCAAACCATTTATCTCATTAATGTATTGTTAATTTTTGCGAAAAGTATGTTTTTGGTCTTTGTTTTTGTTTTGTTTTTTTCAAAGATTTGTCTCTGATCATTATACTTTTAAATTGATGAATTCGGTCCTTTAACTTCTGAAAATATGTGATTTTAATTTTTTTTATACCTAAATTTAACACTTTATTAAGATTTTTCACCTTATCAGAGTTGATAAAAGGACTAAGTGTGATTTTAATAATTCTTTAAACCTAAATTTGATATTTACTAACATTTTTTTATTGTTATAAAGTTGATAATATAACTAAATTCATATTTTTTTAACTTTAAGGACTAATTTGTTAAATTTTAAAATATAAAGACGAAAATCAATTTTGACCTAAAGTGCAAGTACGAAAAACATCTTTAACCTTTAATTTTTTTCCCTATTTTGAAAGTAGTGCAAAGCAATTTGGTCAGAGTTTGAGAGAAAATCAATGTTTTTAAAACCGGAACAAACATTAAATTGGTGAAGACATGAGTTCAAGGTTTAAAGGTTTAAATGGGTTTCAATAAGGGTCCATCCGAATTTAATAAAATAATATTCTTATAATAAGTATAATATAAAATAAATAAATTCATTAGTAACAATGTTTTTTCACAAAAAAGAGAAAAAATAATAAAGGTTACTGGGATGGTCACTGTAAGTTACGGTGAAGATTACAAATATAAAATATATAAGAGAGTGTAAGATGGATAACTATAAATAAGATGAAAACGTAATAAAATAACTATTATTTAAAATTGATGTAACTAATATGAGGTAAAAAAAGAGAAAAACTGAAATATATTAAAAAAATTATATTGAAAAAATTGATCTTCAAATTTTCTTTTTACCAAAATCGATTCAACCTAAAAAATCCGCCAGTTTTTTCTGATTTGTCTTGGTTTAATTAAAATTTGACTATTTAGAAGCAACATATTGGTTTCTTGTTATAACGGTTGAACCGGCCCGGATTTCAAAACTGTGGAAAAGATACAATTGTTTTAGTTGCCTTATCAATGGGACCCTATCTCACCATCTTTTTTTTAGTTTTTTGGAGGGGAGAATGTGGTGGAAATTGAGAGATTTTTTATTCAAAATATCCAAAACTATTTGTCAAACTCTCGCATCTAATTAGTATTTTTTGGAGATTCTATCATTTCATCTGCTTTTTAATAAACATTTTGACATAATTTCAGCTTTTGGCTAGACAACAAGCACAGAGAGAGGAAGAGCTAGCACAGTCTCAACGCCATATTTTAGCTCTTCAAGTATGTCTTGATATTTTTAGAACATCTATCTCATGGCTGGTCATCTCCTTATTTTGTAATACTATATAGTAAAATGTTGTTGTTTCAGGAAGAAATTGAGGAGCTTGAACGCGAGAATCGTCTCCATAGCCAACAGGTATATATGTGCCAAAATTTTGTAGTTGTATTTCCATATGAAAATATATCATAAATGGCTTCAAGAGGCAGTGCTTGTTCTTTAATTGCTGGGCTAGTTTTCTTGGTTTATTTAAAACGGAAAGTTCTAATGTGATTTTACATCATAGCTTCCCTTGAGTCTCTTGACAATGGAAAAATTACCTTTTAGATTATTAAAGGACAGCCGTGGAGGGTCAAATGATGCTGCTAATAGCAGGTTTTACATCACATAAATATGTTCCATGTACCTACGATTATTCTAAAAATATCTATGATACAATATATGTACGATACACATTTAGATATATATAAAAATTTGTAAAACAAGAAATATATAATTGAAATTTTACACATTTAAATTAAGATTATACTTCTTGGACATTACTAGGATCAAAATTACTGTTATAAATCACTGTTCTCATAATCACTTCGTAATGTCTTACAAATGAGAATAATATCAATCTCATTCCTGTCTTGTAATTATTCATAAAAAGGACAATTTCCCTTTTTGGTTCATCAAGGAGATATACTTCTAGAGTATACATGCTTTTCTATCTCAGATGTTGTTGCATTTGCTTTTCATAACTTCTTTTAAAGGCTTGGATACTTGATACTTTACATATATGGATCACTGAAATACTCCCGAGTGTTGGTATTTGAATATCTATATGCCAAGCAAATTAAAGTATCTATGTTTTATAAATTATAATTAATAGCATAAAGTTGATAGGTGGAAGAGACTGAATTGTTCATCGACTGAATTCAGTTTTCAGTGGTTGATTCCACAATAGGCACTTTAGCATTGAAAATCTTGTTGCCTATAGTAAAAAGTTACGTTGTGTTGCTTGCAATTGTTTGTTAAAACATAAGAAAAATGTCTAATAATATCTTGATTATATGTTAAGAACGATTTAGAGCTTAAGTTAAGTCAATATTAGTTTCTATATTTCCTTATTCTTGTCTGAGGTTGGTTTTGGTATGTCCTTTTGATCTCATGATCTGTTTCCTTGCTTAGTTAGGATTATGATATATAATATTTTAGTATATATAAGGGTTGGTACTTTTTGTTTTCTACCATATTGTAATACGTTACATCATATCAAGTTAATATCAACATCAGAGTATGTAGTCTCTGTTTTTCTCCTTTTTTGAGGTAAAGGTGTTCAGATAGTATTGATCGCATAATTGTATAGTTCGCAATTTTTAGGTAGGAAATTGTTATGTTCCTACATTTTTTAAATATTTGGCTTGAAAAATAAACAGATAAATGAGCATTCACTATAACTGTTTTATTTAATTGCACGTTTATGGAAATGATCCATGTAGTTGACCTCTCCAGATGGGATGAGACTTTTGTTGTTTTTCTTTATGAAAACCTAGGCTTATGAATTTCCAAATATTCTAACTGTAGGAGACAATGTTAAAGACTGAACTTCGCAACATGGAAAGATCAAAGAAAAGGGAAGGAGTAGATATGACGTATTTGAAGAATGTTATCTTAAAACTGCTCGAGACCGGTATGAATTTTGAAAACAAAATGAAGTGATCCTTTTTCTTTACATTTACTAACTAGATTGATAAACTAGATAATGTGAATATTTTATTTGACCAGGTGAAGTTGAGGTATTGCTACCAGTTATTGGAATGCTGCTTCAATTTAGTCCAGAAGAGGTAATTTTGTCATCTTCTAATTTGCATCTTAAGACTTTATGGGAGGGATGATCATGTGCAAAAGTAAAGGGGCTTTTTAGGTACAGTGCTATTACATCTCAAATTAAAATTAATTAAGGTTTTTGCATTGGAAATGACTATGAAGTAACTTCCAAATTTTTCTAGCTAAAATTGAATATGTTCCGCCGAAACAAAGGTTGATCCATAAAGTAACCTTACAAATTTCCTGATATAATCTAAAATGTCGTCTCCTAAAAAGTCAAAAGTTATTTATCTTAATTATTTTTGTGATACATTAATATTTTTTTAGTGGCCAACAGAATATAAGTAACTATTTTTTAAATCAAAAGTTCTGTTTTGTTGATGACTGAAAAGGAAAAAAAATTCTGCACCTAATCGTGAGTGCAGATGCAGAAGTGCCAACAGGCATATCGCAACTCAACAGAAGTTCCACCAACTCCTGGAAGTGATACTTCAGGATCTGGCCTATCACTTTTCTCAAGATTCACATTTTCTTAATGGTGTAAATGGAGTGATGGAAAATTTGCTTTGCTACTGTTAGAATGTCTGCATCTGCCATCCAGCTCTAGGAGTATTTATTTACTCACTGTTACTGACAAAGCAGTTTTTTGTACCTGTAAATTAAAGAAGAGGGGGGAACAAGGTTACAACAGCAACTGTTTCCATTCAGGTGTTTGGAGGATGACAAGCTGTAAAGAAACATCAAGGGTAATTAATATACAAAAAATATCACAACAGGGAGGGAGAACTCACGGGATATTCTGCCCCGTTCGTTATTTGGCTGAAGGTGCAACCATATAATTCATTTTTTACCGCTGAATATGTTAAGTCTAAAAGTATCGCTAGAAAACTGTTTCATGTCTTAGATATGATTTTTTTAATTTGCAATGCCAAAGGAATGAAAAGTATCCTTTTTAAGTTCATGCTTGCAAATAATCACAAGACATTTATAGTCACTGAGTTTTCACGAGTGATATGTTAGAATTGTTTTCTGAATTATGATTGGTTGGAACTGTATTGTTATTACAGGCCAGTTAAGGCGTTGAGTCTTCCCATTCTGGTCTGCTTACCTTCTTGTGTTGGTGTTGGAGATAGAAAGATAGTAAAAGATCGATGCTACGAGTTTTTTTGAATGGCTGCTTAGTAAATTACTACAGCTTAATGCTTCACAGTGTAAGCACCTAATTTTCTCATGGAAAAGATCAAGTAAACGGTCAACTAACTTATATTGAACATGTTTTAACATGCTTTTCAGAAATACTTCTAAAAAATATAAGAAAAAAATGAAATGATTTTTCTATAAAGTAGAATTAATCTATGGATAAATTAAAAATAAGAATATAGAAAAAAAATTATGTATTAATTAGATTATGTATAAAGTTGATTTTGATTTATAGAAAAAATTATTTTTTTCTTTATTTTTTTGAAATATTCAAACATATAAATTACGAGAGATAGAAGTGAATAAAACGTGCATAGAGATTTGATATTTTGTTACGGATAAATTTTACATTTTTTTATGACTTATTGTTCATCTCATGAAACCAAAAATTGAAGAGTCATATTAAAAAAGAAAATAATAATAATAATGTATTAACAACTAAATGAGATCTTCATGAAAAAAACTGACAAGAAAAAGAGAATTTAAATTCTGTAGACATATTAACCATTGAATCTTATACTATTTAAGTTTATATATCATTCTGGATGTCTATTCTTTAATATGAATATACATCATTCTGAATGTCTAATCTTTGGTATATCCTTGATTTAAAATATTATTTTATTTTCTTTTTGAGAATCATGGTTATTTTTATAACAGAAATAACTTTTATTCTCGCATAGTTTATAATATGGTATTTTATTCCGATTATGATTTTAGACTCATTAACAATTGTGCTATTCTATAAAACATTTTTTAGATTATGACATTAATTTGGAGTTATTGGATTTATTTTTAATAGCAAATGTTGTAACATTGGATTTATTGAAAGTAATGACCTCCCTAATGGCTTACATATCATTTATATACACATAGGACACATCCTATTTTCAATATTTTTTTAATAAGACAGAAATTAGAAATTTTAGATAAAGAATAATATATAAAAATTAATTATCATATAAAAATAAATATATTATATAAAATATTTTTTATTAGGTTTAATGTTACTAATTGAAATTAATGAAAAGTAAAATTTATTTTATCGTATGAATTTATAATTTTCTTTTTAGATATTTTTAAAATTTACTCTGATTTTTTTTCACATTTTAACATTAAAATAAAATATTATAAAATATTAAAATAACTGATTAATTTATAACAAATAAAAAATATATATCAATATTTTATATTTTTATATTACATTATATATTAGTATAGTAATAATTAAATAAAAACGATAAAGAAAATAAATTTATTTACATTTTTTTATTTCAAAAAAATTATTATGAGGTATCATCCTTAATTTTTTTTAATTTCTTACTTTATGCTTTCAACGTGAACAGAAAAAAAAACTAAAAAATTTGAAAATAAAAGAATAATATAAAAATGAAGGAGTGATAAATAAAATGATAGAAATATTAATAGATAAAATGAGTGTATAATAAAAAGAATTGAATTGGAAAAATGAAAATATGAAAGAAGAAAGATAAAAATAAAAAGATAAAAAGAAGAAAATGAAAAAAACAATTCAAAGTATAAAATTATATAAAAGAATAAATATAATATTTATTATAAAAAATAAGTATAATAATTTTCGCCTTTTTTTTATTTTTCTCTCACTTCATCTTATTCTTCAATTAAAAATATTAAATTAAAATTGAATAAGATGAGTATTTTTATTATTTCTAAAAAGATAAAAATATTTAAATATTTCAAAAATATTATAATTTAATATATTATATTTTAAACAATATTATATAATAAATTTAAGATATTAAAAATATTATTGTTATGTTATAATTATTAAAAATTTAAATATTTATTTTAAAGTAATTTTGTTAATAAATATTTTTTTTAAATTATCTAATCTAATTAATTATCATAACTCAACCTAATTAAAACTAGATTAAATTATTAAATAAAAATATAAATTTAATTCATAAATATTTAAATTTTTTAGTTAGATGAGTAATTATTTATTATGATAAAACTTTTTATTATCATAATTTTAAATAATTATTTGACATTTTTTAGTTTAATTATTGATTTTAATATATTTTTATTAAATTTTAGTATAATAGTTTAATTAAAAAGAATAAATAGGAGAAGAAGGAAAAAATAAAAGACAGAAAAATAAAGAACAAATGAGAAAAAAAGTTATAAGAAAAAAAATATATATATATATATATATATATATATATATTGAAGTAAATAAATTAAAAAAAAATTATTCAAGTAAATTTTTAAAATATAAATAATATCTAAAAAGTAGTTAATTTCGTGATTATTAATTTATATTTTATTAATTAAATAATTAAAATTTTCTATTTGATAAAAGATAAAATAATATAATAAAATGAAAAAAGTATAAAAGATAATATATAGTATAATAATGGACACAACATGCCCTTATATTTCCACCTTTTATTATTATCTTATTTTGATATATTAAAATTTAATATTTATGCTAGTTTTAATTTTATATATATTTCTAAAAATAAAATATATGTATTATTATTGAAAGAAAAAATTAATCAAAATATGTAACGTCTAACAATTTTGATGTGAGTTGATTTTAAGAATTTATACATTGAGTGATTATTTTAAGTAACTTAGTAATTACTAATTTATATTTTCATTAAATAATTAATTATTTTTATTCGATAAATAACAAATTATAATAACCAAAAATAGTTATAGAAATTGTATAATATTAAAAATAATAGTAGAAACATAGAAACAATGGTAACTGGTCAAATTTTTTTATATTGTCAATTTTTATTTAAAATAATTATTTCCTCCCTCCACGTTATTATATTTTTACAATACCATAATAAAAAAATTATGATAATAACCATTATTAATGTATTTTTGCAATGATTTATAAAATAAAATTGAACCAAAATCTTACATTTTGAAAATTCTTTAATCAAAATAAACCAGAACCGTGATTACGATAGTGTTACTAGTTCATTGTTGGCAAAGGGTAGCGACATAATGGACACGTGTGACTGGTTTGCAGCCAGTGGACTATACAAGGTTGATGAAACGAGTGATGACATGGCATTCTATGGCACTCACCATTCACATCAAACTCTTCCAAGCATACACAACAACACTCACCCGCTACCATAACCCTACAATTCTTCAACAACGTTTCAATGGCTTCTTTCGATGCTGGAACCGTTTCCAAACGAAGCGTCGTGAAATCTTGTAGTGATGCAAGAAAGCCAGTATCAGAAACCCTAATTACAATCCACAAAGGGATTTCTGGGGGTTGAGATTCCGAAGAAAAGGAAGCAGAAGCGGAAGCAGCATCTACTTGGAAGAGATTACAAACTTCAGAAGCGATCAACTCCACTATTTCATCAATAATTACAGAGCAGAAGAGTCTTGGCGACAGTGGCGCCAACAGTGTCCGCAAGAAATCTTTACCCTCTTGGAAGAAGCTTTGGCAAGGTATGGAACTGGCAGGGCTATACAGTAATAGCCTTCTACGCATATTATGATTAACTTTAATGCTGATTCTGAAAACACCACCAGGAATCATCGTAGCGTACTCATTCGACCCAAACATCATCACATTGTAGCTGTTACGTTCGTTCAACACTAACGTTGTCTCGTTGTAGCGGTAAAGCGGTTCTCCCATTCCACCTGCATACTCCATTGATGAAGCCATCACCAGTTCTATCTCTTTCTGCACAAGACAAAAAACACAGGTGGTATTCTGATACACCTTTTCATGCACAAATAATCTTTATATAGATAGAGGATACAATATCTTCGTATCTTTCATATTTTATCTTTTCAATAATTTGATTCATCTAATAAAAGATAATATCATTTTAGATTTTGATAAATTTTGTTAAGCTTATCTTTAAAATATTACTCTATTCATAATCATCTTATACGAGTCGAGATTGATTTCACCTAAATTAAGGAAAAGATATTTGAAACTCAAAAAATATTCAAATACTTCTAAATCAACATGTTGGTCATTTTTATGATTTTAATTTTTTTTCGTTTTAATATTATATTTTGAAATACCTAATATATTATTTATTATAAATTATAGAAAAAACAATTGTTGACAAATTTGAGAATATATATTTTAGCATTATTTTTATTTAAATTAGTTATTAAGATATTTTTATTATATTTTGTAATAAGATAAAATATATTATAATTATTATTTTGATTCAGATAATCAACATATTATTAATATTTAATGTTTTATTATATTTTTAATATATATAATATCGATAAAAAAATTGATAGAAAAAAAGTTCCATTCTATCATATACTTCTGATAATATATATATATATACACGCATAAACTCTAAATTCCAATAAATCATATCAACTTTTTTCTACATAATGCAAAAAATTTTAATCTTAAAAATTTAGATTATTTATAAGATCCTTTTTAAAATATTGTTTATCATATTTTATAATAAGATTCTTTTAATTAATGATATTTTTTCCTTAAAATATTTTTAAATAAACATTTAAAATATCACAATTTTTTTATAGAATAATTTTAGTATAATAATACAAATTGCTAAATAAAATGATTGTTTTCATCTACCGGACAAAGGAAGTTTACTTTATGTTTTAATTAATTCATTAAATCTTAAATAGATATTGTCAATTGATTATAAATTTTATGAAATTGTTTCAAATACAATATGAGATAGTTTTTATAATTATAATAACAATTTATGTTTATGATCACAATTTAAAAAAAAATTACTGTAAATATTAATCAAAGTTAGAACGGATTAAATATTAAAGAATAATTATTTTTTAGATATTATTCAATAAGAAATAATCATTATGTTATTCTCCTTTTTTATCATTAATATTTTATTTTATTAACTCTTATATTGGCGTTTCGTAATAAAACAATTTCACCATTTCATTGATATTTAATAATAATTATTTGATTCTATTAACGCGTAATAGGAAATAAACTTCATAAATTTAAATATAAGTCTATTCATCAATTGTGGATTAAAACGAAATTGATTTACTTATTCTCCCAGATAAATAGATATAAGACGGTTTGGTGTGGATTGATTTATGGTCTATTTTATTTTAATAGCTAATTATGTAATTTATCAAAGTCGTGCAAAACATAAATACACGAAGAAAAATATGTTTTAGTAAATTAACTTATCAAATTTATCTAATTTTGGACTAACTAAAAATGTCTCAAATTAAATTGTTTTTTTTAGACTCGATATAATGCCTTAATCCATATGAATCCTTTAGCTCATTTGGACAATTATATTTAGTAAGATAATTATAATTATTTTTATAATTTGAACATTTAAATTGATAATAATATTAGAAATACCTATTTTCATAATTTTTAAAATAAATTATACCAATAAATAAATAATGGCTTTGGGTTGTCATTTCTTCTGGGTAGCGTCAAGATGCGGCAAGAAGACACACAAAGTTAGGAATTGGAATCTACACACATTACCTATTGAAAATTCTGATTGATTGTGATTGAAACACATCACATACACATACAATAACTTTTTCCTTGCTTCAAACTCTGTTGCGTTTAATCATGGAATTCGTAATTCTTAGAGAATTTACCTCAGCAATTCAATATATGTTTCAATTATTATCCACCTCTAGTTTTATTGAGATAAAAAACTGCATGTTACATCCAGTAAGATTTCACACGACTCAGTACATACAAACTTTGTGGTAACAGTAGAGGGTATGTGAATAAATCAAAACCTAAACTACTTGACTTTGTGACCAGAACTGTAAAATGCAATGAAAACACTACCTACCAACCCAAATTTGAATATCAAACATGATTGAAGAGAGTGAAAAATGAGACAGCTAAGCCACCTAACTAAAGAGAGCAAAAAAACCTGACGGCATATTTGACCCTTTCTGCATATACCAGACAAATACTTGACATAAAATCTAATGCACCAAAGTAGAATGTAGAGCAACACGCCCAAACTTGGATGCAATAGTTTCTATGCTTATGCAATGCAAATATCTGACTGAGGTTACTCATCCAGACTTAAGCATGCTTGGCTTGAAAATCCTTCATGAAAGCCACCAACTTCTCAACCCCTGCCAAGGACATGGCATTGTAAATAGAAGCCCTCATACCTCCCACTGACCTATGTCCCTTGAGCTGAACCATCTTCTCCTTAGCAGCCTCCTTGATGAACTCACCCTCCAACTCTGATTTCTCCAAAGTGAATGGCACATTCATCAATGACCTCACAGACTTCTCGACAGGACACCTATAGAACCCTTTGCTCCCATCAATTGCACTGTAGAGAATCTCGGCCTTCTTCTTATTCTTCTTCTCAACCTCCCCCAACCCCCCTTGCTCCAACAAATCCTCAAACACCAACCCACACACGTAAATCCCATAACAGGGAGGGGTGTTGTAGAGTGAATTGTTCTCATCATGGATCTTGTAATCAAACATCACAGGAGTGACACCCTGAGCTTTCCCAATGAGGTCCTTCCTGATGATCACAATGGTGACACCAGAGGGCCCTACATTCTTCTGGGCCCCAGCATAGATAACCCCAAACTTTGACACATCCACAGGCTTGGAGCAGAAATTCGAAGACATATCAGCAACCAAAACACCACTCTGGGCAACAGGGTACTCCTTAAACTCAACCCCGTGAATAGTCTCATTGGCACAAATATGCAGATACGCAGAACCGGGATTCTGCTGCAAATCACCAAAAGCCGGAATCTTTGTGTACTTTTCGGATTTCCCAGACCAGATCACGTTGGGTTTACAGTACTTCTGCGCCTCCTTGGCGGCCTTGTCGCTCCAGGACCCGGTAACGACGTAGTCCACGGTGTCGTTGGGAGAGCAGAGGTTGAGCGGAACGGCGGCGAACTGAGAGGTGGCGCCTCCCTGGAGGAAGAGGACGGAATATTCCGGCGGGATCTGGAGGAGGGCGCGGAGATCCGATTCGGCTTTTTGGATTATGGAGAGAAACTCCTTGCCGCGGTGGCTCATTTCCATGACGCTCATGCCGCATCCGCGCCAGTTGTAGAGCTCGGATTGGGCCCGGAGGAGGACGTTTTCCGGGAGGGTGGCGGGGCCGGCGGCGAAGTTGAAGACGCGATCTTGGGAGTGGGTGAGGGGTGGGGATTGGGTGTGGAGTTGGGTGGCGCATTTGATGGATGTGGGTTTGAAGGAGATGGGGCGAGGGGAGGAGAAGCGGAAAGGAGTGGTGCGGGTTTGGAAGAGAGTGGTGTGAGGAGAAGTTGCCATTGACATGGTTAGGTGGTGATGAAGAAGAAGAAAATGTTTCGCGTTTGGGTTGTTGGAAATGAAGAATGTTGTTTCAGGCAAAGATCTGGAGCTCAAAAATGGAGGATTTATATTGAGTTGATTGGGAATGTGTTTGTTTGATTTTATTGAGTTTTATTTATCTATTTTTGACGACCACGGCAACAACAAAAAAAAGTGTATATTTATTTTCTATGGTTTTTAAATAAAAATAATTACTGTTTCTAAAAGACAAGGATCAGTAAAATTTCAGGGTTAAAATAATAACACTTTTTTTTAATAAAAGCATAAGAGAATGAATATATTATCATGTTATCACTAAATATAAATACAATGTAAAAACGCATTACACTAATAATGAATACGTCATCGTTTTTTAAATATTTATTAATAATATTTTTGTCTTTTATTTTATATTTTTTTATATTAATGATTAATATAAAAGAAGTTTGTGGTTATAACATTGGTCAGGAACAATCATTTGTAGGGTGAAATGCAATTTGCGAAATATGTGGTTGGTTGGTGGTACAAAGTTGGTGAGTAATTGAAGACTAGGACAGAGAGTGAAAGAATGTTCAAAATTAACCCTACTTCATTTTTTTTTTTTTTTTACGAATCTAAATTCTTAAAATTAGATTTATTGTGTTTTAAATTTATAAATAATACATTATATTAACTAAACAAATATTTTATTTTACCTCATCTTGTTTTATATTAACATCATTTATCTCAAAATATATATTATAAAAGAATTATATTTTAATTATAATTATGTTTTTTAATTTATAATTTTATTATTATTAAGTTTTACTTTTAGTTATTTATATTTTGTGTTTTTATCTCATAAATTACTTATATAAAGTCTTTCAAAATTTATTTACTCAACTAGATATACTGATACACAAAATTTAATAAAAAAATAAACTTGTTTCACATAATATACATATTTTCATCTCTTTTTCTTATTTATTTTCTTATTTCTTTCTCTTAATTGACTTCTTATTTTTTATTTTAAAACTTCAATAAAACACAAGAAATTAAAATTTAATAATATGAATCTTTTATTATTATTGAAAAAAATATATTTAAATAATCTAAAAATATTATAATATATTATATTTAAAAATATATATAATATGACATATTTGAGACATTATAAATATTATTTTTATGTTATAATTATTAAAAAATAAATCAATAGTTATTTTAAAGTATTTTTTTTAAATTATCTCTTCTAATTAACTCAGCCTAATTATAAATAAATTAAATCATTAAATAAAAAATACATTTAATTTATAAATATTTAATTTGTTTAATTAGATGAGTAATTATTTATTATGATAAAATAATTTTAAAATAATTATTTATATTATCATAAATAAAATTATTATTTGTTAAAATAAATAAAATTATTTATTATCATTATAATTTTAAATAATTAGTTAATATTTTTTTTAATTTTAATGTTATTTTTAAAATTTATTTGAATATATTTTTATTAAATTTTAATATAATAGTTTGATTAGGAGAATAAAGAAGAGGAGAGAGAAAAAAATTTAAAGAAGTAAAATAAAAAAAACTAAAAAAATAAAATAAAAAGTGAATAAAGAGTGAAGAAAGAAAATAAAATAAAAATTAGGAAGAATGAAAAAATAAATCTATATATAAACAGTAAATCCGTCTTCAATAAATAAATTCATATAAATTTTAATTTAAATCATTTTTATTTCAAAATATATTATTCTTAAAAATTATTCGTTTTTATCTTTAGATATTTTATTATAGTACTTTATATTTTTAAAAATATTTAGTTTAATCTTTTTTAATTAAAATATAATAGAATTACTTGACGTGTTGATGTAAATTTCAATTTAGTATTTTATGTTTTTTCAATATTTTTTGTTTTAAAAAGATTTATTTTGTTACTTTTGATTAAAATTTAAAATCTATTCAATATCAATCAAACTATAATTTGGTGCATTAGAAATTTAAAAAATATGTATACTTTTAATTAGAAAAATATCTATAAAGTTCAAGTTTCATTAAAAAAAAAACTCAATAATTTAAAAAAGGATTAAATTCCTTTTTTATCCAAAAAAATTTTAAATATAACAATTCATAAATCATACACTAAGAAGGATTAAGAAACAATTCAAATTTATTTTAGATAAAAAAAACATGAATTATAGAAATTTAAAATTCAAAATATGTTTAAAATATTAAAATCAGAATTTATCCCTACTTATAATAAAAATAACCGTGAAAATTCTTAATAGACATATAGAAATTATTGTGCGTCAAATAACATCAAAAGTATTGGTTTCAGAAGATGGAATGTCTAATGTTTTTTTACCCGGTGAACTAATTGGATTGTTGCGGGCTGAACGAGCAGGGCGTTTCTTAGAAGAGTCGATTTGCTATCGAGTTCTATTATTGGGGATAACAAAAACATCTTTGAATACTCAAAGTTTCATATCTGAAGCAAGTTTTCAAGAAACTGCTAGAGTTTTATCAAAAGCCGCTCTCCGGGGTCGCATAGATTGGTTGAAAGGTCTGAAAGAGAACGTTGTTTTAGGGGGAATGATGCCAGTTGGTACCGGATTCAAAAGAATAATACACCGTTCAAAGCAAAGGCACTATAACAAGATTACCTCGGAAACAAAAAAAAGAATTTATTCGAGGTGAAACAAAATATCTCTCATTTTGTCCTCGAATAAATTCTTTTTTTTGTTTCAAATAATTTATGTGATACATCAAAGCAATCTAAGATTTCATAATTCCTAAAATAATGATTCTTAAGGTCGCATTCATCTCCGGTCACTTTATTTTGTATATATTTTGTATAATAAAAGAAACATAAGAAAGAGAATAATCATATTCAATTCAATAGAAAAAATGGCCCGATCATTTATCAATGGCAAATTTTCAGTAGAAGAGAAGGTTCCTTCGGAACACTTTTTTATTTCTATTTCAGTATACTGGGTCTCTTTGTTTCATTTCAAAAAATTGATATCATTTCTATTTTGAAATGAAAGAAAAGTGTGGGGATAAATATAAATGACAAAAAGATATTGGAACATAATTTTGGAAGAGATGATGGAAGCTGGAGTTCATTTTGGCCACGGTACTAGAAAATGGAATCCTAAAATGTCACCTTATATATCTGCAAAGCGTAAGGGTATTCATATTACAAATCTTATTAGAACTGCTCGGTTTTTATCAGAAGCTTGTGATTTAGTTTTTCATGCAGCAAGTGGGGGAAAACAATTCTTAATTGTTGGTACAAAAAAAAAAGCAGCTGATTCAGTAGCACGGGCTGCTATAAGAGTTCGGTGTTGTTAATAAAAAATGGCAACGGTAGAAATCAAAGAAATAATGAAAAATTAACTTGTAAAAATAAAATAATGATGAATTTTGATCATTATTTTGTTTGTTTTTATTGAGAAAAAAAAAATGAAAAGCATCTCACTAACTATGATCCTTAGGTCACTAATTTCACATCCAAACATACCTTCTAAATTTACAGTGTGTTAAATTTTGAAGAAAAAAAAATTTTTATGTACAATAAGACTTGATAAAAAATTTAGAGAAATATTTTTCATATAAACTTCTAGCCATTTTTCTTGTTATTCTCTCATCATATATTTCATGTTATTTTAAGATTTTTTTTAACTCCCCTTTTTGTTGTAACTCTCTCCCTGTGATTTAGCTTCATTTTGTCATTTCTTAATCATTTTAAGATGTATAATTTAATTTTAACCTATCTAATATTTGTTATTAATGTAATATATATATATATATATATATATATATATATATATATATATATATATATACATTGATTAAAAGTTTATAAAGATATAAGAAAAAATAATTAAATAAAATATAAACAATATCATTTAACACTGTAAAAACATTTTAATTAAAATCTTAAAAAGATTTTTCATTTTCAAGCAATGTCGTATGCATATGCAACAAGACGGTAACCACCAAAACATCTCACTCAAAGCTTTGTTTGAGTCACAATAAACTATTTTTAAATGTAAAACTTTATATAATATTTTAGGATTTCACCAATCACTAATCACTGCATATATTATTGAAATTACATTAGAAATCACGAAAACCTTATTCTTATATTTACTACTATCTACTCTCATAATTAATCAAAAGATTAAGTTTTATCAAATGATATTAATATGCTAAATATCATAATTGTAGTAGTTAAAAAAATGTTACTTTAAGAAGAGATACTGTTTTAAGTTACCTTCTTTAAAGATTCTTCACATATGTTTTATTTCATTAATTGAATCGTATAAAATCTTATTTATCTAAAATTTTATAATATGTCCAAAAGAAAAGAATTATTGAAAAAAGTGACTTCATCAAACATAAAATAAGTAAATCATTTACTCAACGTTCGTGGTTTTCTGATGCAACAACGTGTAGGAACAAGGTTTTGGTGGGTAACATCGTTTCTATCCTTTAAAATTTTAAAATAGTTTCTGAGAGAAATAGGTTGGTGTTGGAGAGTGTGGAAGGGTCAATGAAACATTAAATAAAGCATTAATTTCAGGGTCAGTTTGAACGTTGGAACAATTTATAGTAAAAAATTCATGATATTTTTTGGTGTAAAAAAATAAAATAAACTAGTGGATGTCAATTAACCTCAGCAAAATTTTATGTATTGTCTTGTCTGTTTATTATTCAGGAAAAAACATGGTAGTTGATGTCAAGTTCAAGTTACAGAATGTAAGATAACATTTTATCAATATTTATAATTATTATTATTTTAAAAAATTATTTATTTACATTGTTTTTAATAAATGTTTTTTAACAACTATTTTAGTAGTATAATAGTAATAAAGTTTTAAAATTTTATTTTAATTTATATTTATTATTAAATAAATTTTGTAAATATATTGTTACCTTTTTTTTAAAGAAAATCATATTTCATATAATAACAATTTATATAGTGTAATAAATACTATTTATTTTTTATTTTATTAATTATATTTAAAATAAAGTAAATAAATGATCATATATAACACTTTATTAAAATCTTAAAATTGAGTATTTATTATTAAAAACTACAAAAAAGGGTAATTTTTCATTTTTTTTATCATCACATTTAACAAGTTTTGCAATGTAAAAAGAGATATCACACCTCAATATATAATATATATATATATATATATATATATATATATATATATATATATATATATATATATATATATATATATATTGAAAATAATATCACGTTCGAAGTTGAGAATCAAAGAAACAAAAACTGTTGCGATAAGACAAAAACAAATATAAATAAATCATCAAATACTTCTTGAATGAATGAGTTGTTTCTATGTCATCGTTTCCATTATTTTGTTCAATGGGAACAAGAGAAATACAGTCGACTCAAGTATGTTCTGTTCACTTAGAACATGGCAGAAAAGTAAAGGGTGGAAAAACAACAGAAAGTAGAACAACATACATAAGAAAACAACATTTCAGACACAATATTTAAGTGCAACCCAAGTTGCTCACATTCATGTATGTGCATGCGCATGCACTAACCAAATGGCCCCCCAATTATGAAAGTCAAGTGTATCATCATGATGTTTGTTAGTGGCTATACATGGCCTGCTACAACGAGTTCTCCACAAGAAAACGTGCTGGTTCACATTTTGCAGTGTAGCCAAATTTAGAAGAACAGTACTTCCTATGCACCCCAGTAAGTTTCCCGTTCCCAGCTTTCTGATGAAAATCAACCATTAATGTAGAGCACTCTCTGTGATTCACAATATTAAAGCACACATTAGTATATCTGGCATACCATTTCAAACTATTGGATAATTGGAAAATGAAGTTGTAGTGGTCTTACAATAGCTGATCTTCTGAGTAATTGGAATGCCATTCACATGTTTTACTCCATTGTTTGAAGCCATAAATGGAGCACTGAGCTGTATAAACAGCAGCTGCTGCTAGTAGAGATGGAGGGAACTTCAACATCTCATATTCCACTAGAGATAGCTCCACCAGGAAGAAAGCAAGTAGCTCAAGCTGTTCATTGCAAGGAATAGAATAAACAAGTTAGTGCATGCTTATAAAATCATGCAGAATCAAATCATATATGAATGCTGAACATGGAAATGTTTGGCAGAAATGTATATGAATGCTGACCTTTCTGTCTGCTTGAGCTGCCTTTAGGAATCTTTTGATAAAAACATACGCGGTTGGCACAGACATGTTAAACTGCAATGTGTTGACCATCAATTTCTCCTGTACGGTTTACAATGAAGAAACTCAGTTAACTTAGTCACACAAATGCCAGAAGTAAAAGTTGTGTCAATAAGGCAAAGAAATGCTACCATTTCCAGAACTTCCTTCCTTGTGTATGCTTTGTCTGATATGAGAATCAGATCCCCCACCACAGGAACTGAAACTTCTTCATACTTGCATGCTAAAAGCATCGCAACTAGTCCAACCAACTGAAGCTTCTTTCTTACCACTGTTTGCTTTGCCAAAAATCTGTCTATCAGATTAACAGTAAGAAACAATGTCTCGTGCATGAGGTCAAATTTGTCGTGCACCTGAAAGGATCAAAACATACACAAATCATACTACTAGGGAATTTAAAATTGACCAAAAACAAAACAATACAGTCATACTATGAGGTCATAAGGACCATTGTGCAACGGTGAACTGGGAAATCATTTGGTATACCTCAATAAGCCAGTCAATGAGTATAGCCCTCATCCTTTCATTAATGTCAAATTGTTGTGTCATGTAATTAGGTGAGACACGGCTAGTATCCTGCAATGTAGCAAGTGCCATTAGTTACCAAAATTTGATAGGAACTCATTCCCATGTTAGTTAAGTTGGCATTCTAAAATCCATTTTGATTTTCAAAATTATTAAAGTGAAATAAACTATACAGGGTAGACTTTGGATGTAGTAGTCTCAAAAGTTAAAAGAGTAATCTTTACTCAAAGTTTCCCATTAAAGTTAAAATGATTTGGAACTACCAAATTCAAACTATTCGTTCAAATGTACCTCCGTTTTTCTGTAGTAGGTGTAAAGATCTTCAATATAATCCACGACTGCAAGGGGATTATTTGCATCACAGGTATCAATGTCCAAAACAGTCTCATCAATTATATCCTCCATCTCAACTTCCTCCTACCAGGCCAATTATTGCACCATCACCAACTGAATCTTTAAATGGTTTTGCGGGACAGAAACAAACAAATAAAAGTGATATTATAGAGATACCATCTGATCTGATTCACTATGCATTGGCTCTGTCTGCTCTAAAGACATTGGCACTGGTTGGTCACCCGTTGGCTTGTGTTCATCATCAACAAATATAACCTCTCCAAATCCGTTCGAATTTGAATTTCCCAAGTTTGACTTCTTGGTTCCCTGTTCAAATTGAACCCACCACTCAAATCTCAGTTTCAACTTTCAAATTGTCAAAAGATCTGTGCGAAGCATCAAATTTCATCAGAAAAGTCTACCTCAGCCTCAGCACGATTTTGCTGTGTGCTAGCAATTTGTGCAGCAAACCTCCTAAAAGTAAATCAAGATGAACAATCAGTTACATTGAAACTTGTGTTAAAAAACAAAGAACATAAAGTTTCATTAACCGATTTCCTCCCTCAGATTAGAAAAAAAAAATGGAGCTATATACACAACGCACTTCAGTTTCAAAATTCAAACACTTAATTTCACTTTTTCATTCATCCCCAAATAAAACTCTATATCACACCAAGAAGAGTCACATCCTCTAACCTTGTGATGGGTCGATGCACCGGATCCGCCTGCTTCTTCTCACAAACATCTTGTTTTCTGCACGCCGGAGCAAACAACACCATCAACATCAGAAACCAGAAAAGACTGAAAGTTCACAAGAGAAAAAAAAGAAAAAAAGAAAAAAAAAAGATGGACCCATCATCCAATAGAAAAAAAAAATTACTCTGCCAATGCTCTCTTGTTAACAACACAAGGGTAAGATCTCCCTTCCGCCACTAAATTCTGATTGATCACGCTCAACGCCCTTCTGTTCTGCCCCAGCTTTCTGTTTTTTTCACAATTTATCCCTCCTATTACAACAACCCACAAAACAAAAAATAAATAAATAAAAATATCACACTGCCATGTTATTAAATCTTCAATCTTTCTTCAACATTGAAACCGAAACTTTACTTATTACCTTCAAAACCTGTGGGGTTGATTGTTTTAGATCTGTTCTCTGATATCACCATTATGAATGAACACACAAACAAACAACCACCACACACCCTCACAAGATTAAGAAGAAGGGCATGTAATACAGAAGAAGAATATGGAAGAGGGTAGTGTACTCTACACTAATTAACAGTGACACTACAAACACCACACTGGAGGACTGAAACCATGGGGTATTTGTCTGGGGAGACCACTTTTCAAAACTCAACGGCTAGTCACTAATGACCGTTGGATCGTTTGGCTGGCACCACCATTACTTTATTATTTTTATTTTTTCTATTTTTTCTTGCCCCTCTAAACTAAATCCTAATAACGGTAACCTCCCATGTGAAGAACCGTGTAGCTTTACCCAATCACCTTCGTTTTTTATTTTTTTATTTTTAAATAGCAATTATAATTACACTTTTTTGGATCTTTACTTTAAGTAAATAATTATTTATTCTATTAAAATTAAAAAAATTATAATTAACATGCGTGCTTCATTTTTTCATTGCAATGTCTGTAAATTAAATGTATGTAATGTAGGATGAATTTTGTGTTCCCAATTTGTACAATGATACATGGAATTTTTTAACATTTCTTCTTTTTCTCAATGGTTTTTCATTAAACAGAATATTAAATATTTTCCATTTGGAGAATATAGCACAGAATCTTAATATATATTTAATTATTTTAAAATATTATTTTTTACAATCAATGTTTGCACAGAATTTATTTTAAATCTTTCAAGATTTAGTCAAAATTGAATTTAGTTCTTACTCCTACAAATTATAACTTTCTTGAAACACGGACAAGGTGAAATCCGGATTTAAAATGAATTAGTTAAGATTAAATTTAGTTCGTAATTTTAAAAATTATAACTTTTGAAATACTACGAAATCTACTTGATTTTAGAAGGATTTAGTTAAAATTTAATTGAGTTCTTAATTTTAAAAATTACAACTTTTCATGGTTGAAATAATGGATAAGGTACGGAATCCACTGGATTTTTAAGATACAATTATCAGAACTATAATTTTTAAATTACAATAATTAAAATTGTTTTTTACCAATAATTCAAACTTTTTTTCATCAAACGCTCTCAGAGAAATAAGGAAGACATGAAAAATGACAGTAGATATTTTTAAGTTTTAATATGAATAATTACGTACAAATATTTTTAAAATAGTGACACCGTTTATTATTTGAATTTTTTTATCTGTGTTGCATTTATTAAAAGGTTAAAAACATAAGAGGTTAGAATAATAATTAGTGCACTCTTTTAGTAAAATTTATCTCATTCTTGTTTTTTAATATTTTTAACTTTCAACAAGGTACAAAAATTGATATATGTTAAAAGGATAACTTTTGTGAAAAAAAAAGTGATAAAAAATATTTGAAATACATGTTATTAATATTAATACGAGTTAACATAACTTTAGAAAAAATAAAAAGAGAAAAAGTGTAAAATTTGAAGCCAATGATTGGGTGTTGAATTTGACATTTTTTGCGACGCTTCCTTACAATTTTTCTCAACGGTTTACTTTAGATGCGCTCCAATCTGCGCTCTACCGCACTTTGATTAAGGCTATTTTAGAATTCAGCTTTTTTCTCTGCATAGAATCTTCGTTCTTTTTATTTCTCTCTTTTTTTAGAATAAATATTCCAGTGTGAACACACTAAATTGATGCAGTTTTACTAGCAATGTTTAATTTGGATGTAAATTATAAATTAACTTTAACTTATATTACGAAAAGTTAAGAATAATATATATATATATATATATATATATATATATATATATATATAATACAAAAATATTAAATTTTACATTAGACAGTATGTTACTGAATTAAAATTGAGGTTTGAATAATATACTTATTGGAATGTGAATCACTAATTAGATAATTAATATCATTATTTAAGATTCTTATGTCTTATTTATATAACTAAATTGCAAAGTATGTAAAACGATATTACCATATATTTTATGTTTAAATTTTGTATTGAAAAAATATAAAAATTCGTTAATGAGGTCACAAAGTATAATATTTTATATTAAATTATATGATTTATGATTGATTTATAAAGCAATTAATAGATTTTTGAAGTCTTTATATTAATAAAATTCAATAAATATAATATTATATATAATAGTTTAATTGACAAAAAATTATGTAAAAAAAAACTGGTAAATATTTATTTTAATTGTCTTTAAAAAAAATTATTATTTTAGTAAATAAGATATGATAATATCTAATAGTTAAAATTATATATTTTTTCTTATTCATTAAATTGTTAATCATACAATCAAAAATTCACCTATGGATTTAATATATTTAATCATTTGAATTAAAAAGAAAAAAAAACCTTTATTTCTCATTAATCATCTTTATAGGACATTTCATTATTTATATTTAATTTTAAATTTATTTTATTTATTTATATGTATTTATGTTTTGTATTAATAAACAAGTAACAAAAAATAATGAACAAACTAAAATATATTTATCATATATACAATAAATTAATTCTCCAATTTCCTCCCCTATTAATATTTATATTATAAATATTCTATAAATTAGATTAAAAAATTTGTATACATCATAATACATTTCTTAAGTACATAATTATAATATATTTATGATTTAATATATACAGTTTTTTATTTCATACCAAACTAAGTTATAATAATATCCTTCAACTCTCATTACAGGTGAATGTAGAGTTATGATATGTGATATAAAATTCCAAATTTTTTGACCAAATTATGCAACATCATAAATTCTGCATGAGCTTGTAAATGTCATTTTGATTTCAAAATCTTATCCTCCTATTTTTACTAATTTATTTTTATTGTAATTTAAATTTTTTATTATTAAAAAGGATGATAACACGTAAATAATTGGTGAAAATATTAGTACTACAAATATAATTTACTCAATTATATAATATATATTAATAAATTAATTAAATACTATATTTATATTAACATTACTTCCCCTCTTTTAAAATTTGATTTTTACCTTCAAATGAAAAGTATAATTTTAAACTAAATTTAATAAAAACAATTAAAAAAAATAAAACAAATTATTATATATTATATTAATGCAAATTTTAATCTTGCTATTTTAAATATATTCTATACAATTATTTTTAATAATTAATAAGAAAAAAATAATGAGTACACATAAGTATGCATAAAATTTGTTATAATTAATTTTATTTAATAATAATATTTAACTATGAAATTAAATTAAAAAATATATTTAATATACATATATCATCATTACATTTAAATTTAATAAATACATAATATTTAATAATTATAATAAATAATATTATCTAAGAAAAATAGCAGTAATATTATATCAATACTGCATTTTATATAATAATAATAATAATAATAATGAAAAGGGATAAGTTCTCCAAAAAAAAGTGCATAGAATTATTTTGTATATATAGGTGTTATTTTAATTTTCTCTCAACTTTATATGAAAGAATTGAAATTAGTTCAATAGTTAACGTGATGTAACATAAAAATATTATCTCTCTGATTTTATTATTCTGCTTACAACATGTTTTCCAAAACAAAACAAAAATCTTCTGATGATACTTTTCAACAATAGCATGATATTTGTGAAATAGAATCATCTTTTAGAATTTAACTTTTCTTCTCATGATATCTCGCACTAACAAAGGTTTTATTAACATTTGTTTGAAAAATTATATTTTAAAAGTTAATTTTTAAAAATAATAACAAATATTTGTAATATGTAGAAACACATTAAAATTGGTTATAATTAATTCTATTTAATAATATTTTTTTAATATATATATATATATATAATAAAAAAAACTGTATATTCAGTATACATGTATGATCATTATATCTATTAAATTCAATAAATATATCATATATAATAAATAAATATAATAATTAATGTTATATAAAAAAATATCAGTATGTTCATATTTTTTTTATGAATTTTAAATATTGATATCGATACTATATTAATAAAATTAACAGTGTTATAGAAGTAATTCGCAGAACACAAGAAAGGTGTCAATGTAATAATAAATTCCTTTTTATTAACAATATCAACAACGATTATAAAACGACAGTAGTACATGAAATACAATTAAGATTTTTTTTAAGATCAAATAATAGAAATATAAAACTTAATTTGCTAAAAGAAAAATAGTAGAATTAATCACAATAGTAAAATTCATTTTCTTCTTATATAGTTTGTGAAGATATATTCGGATTAAAATATATAAAATAATAAATAACTGTAATAACATTAACATTAAGAAACTATAATATCAAACAACGTGAGTGTCAAGAAACTCAACTTTTTTTAAATAATTTTTTTTGAAATAGTTTCTTTTATTTTATAAAGTACATATAATGTAAACCCAGTAAAGTTTTTGAATAGTTTTAATTCTAAATTTAATACCCATTCTTATATTTGATGTTAGGAATAAACACCTTATCCTCTAAATTTAACTTTAATTATTTCTCTTCATCCTATTCGAAAATGTAAATCTTTATTATCGCAAAGAGTGAAGTTTTCCATAAATATTAATAACATTTATGAGTCCTTTGCTATATATATATATATATATATATATATATATATATATATATATATATATATAAACTTCTAATATATTGTGATGTTATATAAGGCTTAAAATATATACATATGAAACTATAAATAAGTATAACAAAAGATCAGAAAAACAGACTAATGTCAAAGTATTTAAATAACAAAAAAGAACTCTTTTTTTGTTAAATAATTTTTTTAAATTAAGTCTTCTGAATAAAATAAAGTTAGATATTTGTGAATCTACATAATGTAATACCCGATTTAGTTCTTGTGCATTTTTAATTTAAAAATATGATACATTTTTAGATTTTATAAATATTCAACTATCCAAATTCAACTCGTATCAGTTATTTATAATCGTTTGAATTGAAAAAGAAAAAATATATTGTGTCTTACGAATGAAGCTCATGTAGGAATCAAGAACTATATATGATATTTTACCATAATAATTATTAAATTGCTTAATGTTATAACAATTGTTTTGATCATTAATCTGGTTGAGATATTAAATCAATGATGAATAATGAAACTGCTGAGTTACTATTTAATATGGTCTATCTATCTGTTTATATTTACATCTATATAATATGTAATATTGCGATAAGTCTAGTCTAAATTAAAAATGTTTATCATGATAAAATATTAATGTATACAATAGTTAATAAATTTTAAAATAATGTATTTTCACAGTCCAAAATTCAAAATACTATTATGGTATAATAATTAATACTTGGAACAAATTTTTTAATAACAACACAAGTTTATAAAAGAAAAATAAACCGGAAAACTAAATAAGTTTAAAAGACATAACAAATCTTATCATCCTCCATTAATATACGATATGATTTTCATTGGTCCTTGCACGAGTGATAATAGATCGGTAGGCCATTTCCATTTCCTCATAGTTTAAATCCTTTGGAATTAATTTACATGGTTGTGTTCAATTCCCATCCTAGTGCGTTGTATTTCATACAGACACCTAACAAACCAAGCTTCCCTCTGTAATTTCTCATGATGAAAGGTGGAGAGAGAAGGGTTCTCCCAATGGTGATAAAATATAGGCCCAAGAGAGCCTTAAAGCATAAGAACAATCTAGAGGAGCTGAATGAAGTTTTAAACCACCAAGTTTTAAGGGAAAAGGGAAGTAGGAAGCTAAACTTTCTTTCATCTGCTTCATTTCTGTCTCTGAACTATGCTCGACAGGCGGAGGAAATAAACCATCAGCTGCTACCAAAAGCTTTTATTCATCACTTGAAGAGACTGGAAGTGGAGACTTAGCTTGTGTTTTCTGCGGTTTCAATCCTCCTTTCACTTGAAAGATTTCAACCAGTGATAAACGCATTTTTTTCTTCTTCAAGTCTGACTCATTTGTTGTTTCTGCATCCACATTCAAGTTGTTAGCTATCACCTGGTGATTATCGGATAATGCAGATTGTGATGCTGAACATGTGATGTGTTCATCCCTCTTCATATGCATAGCTTGGTCTAGAGAACATTTATTGGCACTGGTTATTTTCTTCCTATCATTTATCAGCTGTTTTATGTTATAATTTTTCGTTTTTGCGGAGTTCTTCGTCATAGACAGATCAACCTTCTGGCTTAACTTGACTAGCTTTTGCTGCTCTTTTTTATTTTCCTTGTATTCAAATTTCTCGGACAATTCATGGTTCCCTGAGCTCATTTTCTTCTTTGCGTTACCCCTACTCTCAACCAATTTCCGTTTCTTGTTTTTTCCTTGCCCACATTCTGAATTTGATAAAAGTTGTCCTTCATCCTTCATTGATGCCACTTGTTGGTTTACTAGATCTGGATGGTGCGATGGACCAATTTCTTCACTGCCCTCAGTCTTAAGGTGACATTGTCCAGCTTCAGAATGTTCCCCATTTTCAACAATTCCACTACTCATAGTTTCAAGAACAATTTTGCCCAAAACAAATCGAGTCTCTGAAAGCTGACCCTTCCCAAGCATGTGATAATTTATCTTCGAATTTTTTCTTCTTTCACTCTTGTAAAATTCACCATTACTAGCCACCATTTTGAAAATTGCATGAGCAAGTCTCCCTGCTTTCCTGGATACTACAAATACCTGAAATCCACAAAGACTCAGTTGGTTTGGAGCCTTAAGAATTACAACAAAATAACACTTACGATGGACACAATGATCTATTTACAAATTACAAGGCATAAAAGATGGCTTGACTAAACCTATGGGATAACTCTATAAACAGGTACTATACCAATGTGGTAATAGGGCAGAAAGGATAAATATCCCAGTAAAAATACAAAATGGATAACGCGGTACCGCTGACATGTTCCAATTTCCAATAGGCTACTTGACGTCTATTGACCCATCAATGATTTAAAACGCGGACTGGTGTTCAACTTAGAAGGAGTCTTGGTTCAATGGATAACTGGTTTGATGGTTAAACGGGCACGTGTAATTCAGTCAAAATATCCTGTCATCGGCAGAAATGAGATGTTGAAGATTTCATATTGATTAGTAATAAAGCCAAACTAAGTGGGGTTAACACACCTTTTAAGCTAGCGGATTAAACCCATATTTTAAATGGCATTAGAGTTACTCCTACATCCGTTATCGAGCCTCCTACACTTGCCGCACTCCAGGCCCATAACTTTATAAGTCAGTTTTATGGGATTTTGTTGGGCTTTAAGTTCAATTTCTAAAAATCCTAATTACATTTTCAACAGTTTCTTTACATGATAGCAGAGGTACTTCAATTTTAGAGGCTTAAATGATTATAATAGTATACAAGGTCTATCTAGAATCGAGGAAATATCATAAACCCTAACTCAAGTTAAATAACTCAATCAATTAGAATAGAACCTGATACTGTTGCAACTTTATGAAATAGATTTATTTACCATGCCAGATTGTGGAAAAGATGGGTATCTAGACATGCTCATGAACTGACGAAGACTATTGTCCTCAATCAAAGCAGGTATCGCGTGCATCACCAAAGATGCCAATTTTGTGACTGCTATTGCAATTTCTTCATCTGATCTGTATATATTAGACTTCCTTATTTCAGGTATAAAATTAACTCTCGTTCTGGCATGTTCTTTAGCAAATTTAACACCTTCTTTCCACTCCCCATGATATAGAACAGATGCAAAAGCCCACACCACTACAGCATCTTGAGGATCCTTTACTAGTGCCATGTGAAATGCAAGCAATCCAATCCTGTAACATATACAAATATACTATGGTGTCAAACACCCATCACTTACTTAGACAATATAAATTCACAAACAACATCCATTCAAGCCTTAGACATGTAAATGCCAGCTACAGCAGAAAATAAGTTACAGTTAATCAGTTATTCTCCCTCTCCACTTCCACCCACAAAAACCTGAAAAATAAGTCCATCATTATGGTGTTTTTTTTTAAAGTAGATTTTTTTTTAAGTACTTAATGGATCTTGATTTGCCACGTCAGGAATCAAGTTAGTTCAGCCAAATGGTTGACTAAAAATGGTATGATATCTGTAATACAAATAGTTTCAAGATCCTTAACTGTCAACTATATATGGTATTAAACTCTTAAAACTCAGTTACACGGCAAGAGTATCTAATATTTGAAGCCTAAATTCAGTATTAATGTTCTCAATCCCCTCAAGCTGAGAGCAAAGTTTCAGAAGATAGCTCTGTCTTTTTATACAAGCATAAATGTGCTACTGGATATCTGGAAAAATAGATTAACTGAAATATGATTTATTTTTTTATTTCAATACAAAGAGATGATATAAGATATATACAAGAGACCTAAACTATTTTAGGAAATATAATAACTCTATTTTATGCTAGGATCCCTTGATTTATGGGATTGTTCCTAATTATTCAAATCAGATGCAGTTACAAGGAAATATACAAATTTCCTTATTTATTCTTTCCTAAAATACTATTTGATTTCTCACACTCCCCCTCAAGCTGGTGAATAGATGTTTTCCATTCCCAGCTTGGATACAATCTTCTCAAAATTATGGCAGCCCAGTCCCTTGGTAAGAATGTCCGCAATTTGGTCTTCGAGAGGACACATATGGAGTGCATATCAAGCCACTATCAAGCTTTTCTTTGATGAAGTGTCTGTCTACTTCAATATGCTTTGTTCTATCATGCTCGCACTTGGGTTGTGGGCTATACCGATTGCTGACTTATTATCACAATAGAGCTTCATAGGTTCTTCCCACTTTATCCTCAAGTCTTCTAAGATGATTTTAAGCCATAGCAACTCACATATACCTTGTGCCATGGCTCGGAATTCCGTCACAGACTTGGACCGAGCCACTACACCTCGCTTTTGCTTCTCCAAGTCACAAGATTTCCTCCAAGAAAGGTGCAATATCCTGTAGTTGACCTCCTATCCACAATTGACCCCGCATAATCGGCATCGGTATAGGCTTCAAGTTTCACATTACCATTCCTTTTGAATAGAATCCCTTTTCCTAGAGTTCCTTTAAGGTACTCGTAAAATTACGTGGGCAGCTTGTAAATGGGTCTCCTTTGGGCTATGCATAAATTGGCTAATTAAACTCACTTGCATAGGCAATATCCGGCCTCGGTATGTGACAAATATATAAGTCTCGCCCACTAATATTTGGTACATATCTTTTTCAACAAGCAACATCTTCTTCCGCATTTCCAAGCTTTAGGTTTGGTTCTAATGGGGTACTAGCAGGTTTGCAAGTCTGCCTTGCCAGTTTCCTTGAGCAAATCAGTGATGTATTTCTGCTGAGATATAAATATCCCTTTCTCGGAGTGGGCAACTTCAATTCCCAAAAAATATTTTAGTTTTCCCAAAGTCTTGATCTCAAATTCCTTGCCTAAGCATTGACTCAATAATTGTTGCTCTTCTTTATTATCTCCAGTTAATATTATGTCATCCACATACACCAATAATATTGTTACTCCCCCTGACTTGGAATGTTTAAAAAACAAAGTATGGTCCCCTTGGCTTTGTTTGTAACCCAGACCTGTCATAACTTTAGTAAACCTGCCAAACCATGTACGGGGGGACTGTTTTAACCCATATAATGTCTTTTTCAACTTGCAAACAGTGTTGGTAGCAACATCTTTACCATATCCCGGAGGTATCTCCATATAGATTTCTTCTTCAAGGTCTCCATGTAGGAAAGCATTCTTAACATCAAATTGTTCCAAGTTCCAACCATAATTGGCAGCAAGGGACAATATCACCCTAACTGTGTTCATTTTGGCAACCGGAGCAAAGGTCTCCAAATAATCAACCGGAGCAAAGGCTCTGATACCATGTTAAGGTTCCAACATAAAACCAATTGGCAATATGTGGAGTAGCCTAACATGTATTTAAACCATACCAAATGATATGAGGTAGGCGATGTGGGACTTTCAACACACCCCCTCCAACGAAGCCTGCCGGACCAGGCAAAGGGTACTTTTGACCCAACTAAAGGACAACTTTTGGCCCATGACAATAACCGGAAAGATGTTAGGCTTTGGCTCTGATACCATCTGGAAAAATAGATTAACTGAAATATGATTTATTTTTTTATTTCAATACAAAGAGATGATATAAGATATATACAAGAGACCTAAATTATTTTAGGAAATATAATAACTCTATTTTATGCTAGGATCCCTTGATTTATGAGATTGTTCCTAATTATTCAAATCTGTACAGATTACAAGGAAATATACAAATTTCCTTATTTATTCTTTCCTAAAATACTATTTGATTTCTCACAGGATATTTGTTCTGGCTCAAACCTACACACTAAAGTTGTTCCTAAACCCTGTTTGAGAGAAAATTAAGCCTAAATACTTGGGGTTAATTACAATATTTTTCTCTACTGGAGAGGGGACTCTTGTAACAAATTAGAACTTACAATCACTCACCACAGTGTGCAATCACAAGGTCGGTCGCATGCAACCAAATTATCCAGATGGAAGAATAACTTCTGCAAAAGTAAAAACAGAACCATTAGAGGTGAAAGCAGAAAAGTTTGATACCAAATGTGCACTTGTTATGATTGTGATTGTTACTAAGGCCACACTCGTTCAAGTAGGTGGATATGAAGAGGCAAAAAATAATAAGTGTTTGGACACTAAAGACCTCATTCCTTGCCATTTTTTATATATCCCTTTCATGTAGACTTTATTGTGTCCATATATATCCAATTCTTTGCCCACTCACACAAGCATACGTAAGAATATGTGAGAATCTCTTTATAGTCATAATGCATTTCTAAATTATGTTAACCTCATGTAACCTACTATCCAATTTATCTTCAGTTATAAAAAGAAAAATCTTATCATCAGAAAAGAGTAATAATATTCTTCTGTGTCCTTAGGGTTCGTGGATTTTACATGGAATTCAGTTAGATATGTGTGCAAATAATTATAGGACTCCCTTAATCAAGTTCACTGATCAGTTTCGAGTGACAACAAATCTTATATTAATACCAATATTTGTCTACACACATCAAAGCATTCAATACTGATCCAGGTAACAATGAACTAGCAATTGCATCATTCAATCAAAATAATATCGTCACAAACATGCCGCACAATTATTTGCGAATCTAACTTACCATCAACATATTGGAAGCCTGAACATCTTCTTCAATAGCTTGTTCATCTAGATATGCTGCCTATAACCAATCAATTAGTAATTATTGTATTTGGCTGATAGGCATATTATTAAACGACTAAAATCAGTAACTCAAATTCACTTACATGTACAGGAAGTAAAAATTCAAGCAATTTGAATTTCCAAAGTAGACGCAGAGATGGTTCAGCAGCTCCATAAGACAGCATATAGTTCAATTCAATCATAAGTTTATTCTGAAATATATATAAAACAAAACAACAGCAGGATGAGTGATGAGACTAAAACTATAATTAATTTGACATCCAAAGATAAAACCTTATGAGTATGTTGTCTAATGAACCAATTTACTTTTTCCAATAATGAAGTGCAACAGAAAAGGAGCATTTCTACACAACCCATGGACAACAGATATGAGGACCAGAATCATTAAAATTGAAAGATGATAGAAAACTCTTGTGCCAAAGTCATGGCAGCACACCACCATCATAAATTTTCAATTGATATACCTTGTCCAAGGTCCTAACTAGTGAAGAATACGTCCAGATTGCAGACTCAATCTCCCTTGATAATGATAAACCAAGCCGAGCAGCAATTCTGAAGCCGCGCAAAATTCTTCCTACAGACAGATTTTTACATGTGACTTCGTTTTCATAGGAGATGTTAATCAATATGATTCAGAATGTTTTATTTCAAGAAGCTGATGAAATTATGATGCTACCTACCAGGATCCTCTTTGAAGGACAGCTGAGCAGGGATCACAGTTTCTAGCTGTATCCACATCACCACCCATAATTACAAGTTACACTCACGGTTTGGGTTGTAAAAATGCATTAACACATCGAATAGAGATTTACCTTTAAAGTCCTCAAATCGGCCATTCCACTGGTATAATCGTAGATTTTATTGGCAAAGGGGTCATAAAATAAACTGATTCCACAATCAGATATGGATTAATAACAGCCCAAAATTAAACATCGAAGATTAAAACTAATACTTATTACTGCAACTCATATAATCCAAAACCTCATTTTAAAGAGCACATAAAAACAGAAACTGTGAACCCACCGACATAAAAAAAAAAAAAATCACATACAAGCTATAAAAAAATTTAAAGGAAAAAAAGATCCAACAATTACCTATTAATTGTAAAGTCCCTGCGCAAGGAGTTTTTGCAGCGAAATAAGTCTTTTTTATTACTGCATTTGGGCAACAGAGAGTTTAAAAGTTCCTTCCCTTGGGTAGTTCGCGCCACTGTCTCAAAACTAGTTACCTTATACAATATAAATATATCGGTTGATTAATATTTTGATATTACATTATTCAAAGCAGAACCTCCAAATGAAGTACAAATTAATCATAAATGTAATTTGTAAATTAAAAAAAGAGACAAATGTAATCTTGTATAACTACTCAACAGACAAACCTCGACTACGGAACCTTTTATATGAACCAAGCATACGGGAAAACGACGTCCAACAACTTCAGCATGAGCTAAACGACAGAAGTGCTTTCTCACCTGTCAAATATCATTGAAGAAAAAGTGTATTAAAACTGGCTGACTAGTATCATATGCCTCTAATATAGTTCATAAATTGAGCCATTGTCGTAAAACCTCCATAAGCTTTGCGGTGGTGATAACATCAAAATCTTTTGGAGTTCTATTTAGTAGTAGATCTCTGACACACCCACCTACTAAGTAGGACTCAAATCCTGCAATTTATAAAAGATAAAAGCATCTAGTTATTATGTAAGAAAATAAGGGTATAACGAAATACAAAGCTCAAGGTAAATAAAATTTGTCTACAAATATAATATACATATACATACATACATACATATATATATATATATAGGTGTACTAGAAATGCATTAATGTTTTATTTGGATGAGGAGTGAAATATAAAGGAAAGAATTAGGAATGATAGAAATAGAGTAGAAAAGATGTGTTGTTTGCATGGATAGAAATTGAAAAAAAAAAAGAAGTACAAGAATTTCTCTTTGTTTTTGTTTGGATGAGTGAAATATAGAGTTAAAGAAATAAAGAAATTGTATGAAAAATATCTCTGTAGTGTCAAAAGAATGAATGACGGGGAGAGACCATTTCCTTCCCATTTTATGCAAATTCTATTTAAGGGAGGAGTAGTGTTTTCTGGTGGGTCTATCCTCCTTATTTCTCCTTTTAAACAAACAACAGAAATTTAGTATTTCTATCTATCCTATCTCATTCTTCCTATTTTTTTCCAATTATATCCTACCCGAACAAACAAGGTGTCACACAACTAAGACTCCTTTTCAAAAGAAGGTGAATAGATCAAAAGCCTGTCTAGCTCAGTTGGTAGAGCGCAAGGCAAGGGCAAGACTACATACAATGGCCCTCCCCCTACACCTTTGCATAAATAGGGTTATTGTACAGATGGTTTGTTCTTTTACTGGAAGGACTACTATAGTACCTAATTACTAGCATAAATGAGACACTTATGTCACATACTGCATCAATATAAACTTATCATATTGATTATTCTTTCTCTCTAGTCCTTACCAATGCACTGTATTTCAATAGAATTATCCTTTAACCTTGCTGGCTAGCAATTCCACCAGCTCAAAGCTGCAACAATGCTCCCTTATAAATTATCCTTCGGGTATCTACATTATTAGGAGTAACCAGAAAGGATACTCAGTAACTAAATACTAAGATCAGACTTTCAAAATCAAGATACAAAGAAAATAAAGTGGCAAGGAAGGCAATGCTCTTCTTTTATCATTATTTGGGATTACGAAAATTTTACAAGCCTTTACAATGCAAACAACCACCTTAAGTAAGGTGTCAGAAGGTATAAGAAAATTCTCACCTTTGCTCCGAAGAAGTTTCAGGATAAACATAGATGACTGTGAAATCATAGAACTTGTTACACCAAGCTCTTCTGCATCCAAAGCCTTCCATTTTGAGATGCATATGCGATCTGAATAATAGCTTAAAAAACTGTAACTAGGTCTCAAATTCATGTAATCAAAGGCTTAATATGGGTTTCTACATATATATAACAAGGTCAGAAACTGATTTTAGGTAACCACTTGCACTCAGTCAGAGACTTACTTATCTATTTAGGTGCTGCTTGATAATATCACGGTGGCACAATGAGAAAAATATATTCAGATAACATGAAAACGGCGGCAGAAGTAGGGCACAAATCTTCCAATCACGGCGCTCAGCTGAGCAAAGTAAAAAACATAGAAGAAGTAATTTTACCTCGGCAAATAGAGTAGTCCGAGTCTTTTACTGGAGACGGTATAACTTGCATTGGTTGTTTGGTGGGTTTGGGAGCAGGAGAGTGAAAGTTCTGAACCAAAGAATTCAAGAAAAATAGAAGATTCAGAGAGAGATGTTACATGTCACAATGTGTTTGAGAAATTGCCTCAGCCAAAGTAAAAGAGCGATTAGTGTTTGTGCACCTGAGACTGAGATTTGACAAGAGTCTTCAAACGAGCAAGCACGCCACGTTTGTTTTGGTTCATTCCGAAAGGAACCGCCATTAGAGTATGAATCAACCACTTCACCGCTCACTGAATCTCACCTTCCTTCATTTCAAGCGGCACAAAATCTTTCAAGTTACCTGTTATGTATGAGTTTCTATACCTTGCTACATTTTTTAACAGTGCCTTTGATTATTTTATCAAACCACTGCTATTTTTTTTTCCTTGAGATAAAGGTTTATTTCATACAACAACAATTCATAATAAATAAATAGTTTCTAAATATATATATATATATATATATATATAATATTGTAATTAAAATTACTAAAACTTTTTTATAAAAAAATATTAATTAATATGTTAATAATTAATTTATAAAATATCTAAATTATCACATGAATATAAAAAATACAAGTAAATACATGATGATCATGCAAATTAGTTGGTTATTGTCAAATGATTATTTTATCAAACCCACTGCTATGGATTTGTGAAGTTGTTTGAGGAGGTTCCTTAAGAGATAGAAATGGTACATGAATAAGTGAATGAAAGAAATCTTAACTCCACGGATGTAATTGTGGTTGAATTTTTGTAATTGTCTCTATTATACAATTAGTTAGGAATATTGGGGTTGAAAAAGTTGAAAAACTTGCTTTGTCCATGTGTGTAGAGAATTCAACATGGTAGAGAAATTTTTGGTCTTTATATCTCATTCCTTGGATGTCATATTCTTTGTTAGGTGTTTGTTTTTATTTTTCTTGGAGATGTGATGGGCCTATGATTTGTGTGTTGTTTTTTTTTTTGTGATGGGCCTATAATTATAAAATATTATATTTTAGTATTACACATTAGTAGAGAAAATTACATTATCTTAGAGGAGAAAAATAAGAAGAAATAGGAGAAAACGTTTCACTTAAACAATTTTTTTTAAGTTGATCTAATAAGTATAAATTTAAGAAAAATATTAAGACTTATACTTCTTTTCATGACTCTAAAAAAATGGGCAGGAACAACCACTCAGCTAGTTTTGCCAAAAATTGTCCCCGTGTTTGATTTAGTTTGGTGCAAAATAGTAAATCATAAAATTGGTATCAAAGAAAAATATATATTATTAAGATTTCAATTTAAAAATAAGTTTTATATCGATTTTTATATTTTATTAATTTTTTAATATCATAAAATTATAATATATTTTTTAATATTATTATGTAATTTTAATTGTTAAAATAATTTGGTTAATACTAATTTGAACATAACCTATGAATCCCATTTTTAAAATATTTTTCTATCTTATTTTTTTAGGTTGTAACAATCATTTTTTTTAGACTGTAATAAAACTGTAATAAAAATTTTAAATTAAATTTTAATTTTATTTCGTTCAAGAATTAGAGTATTCAACCTCATGTATTATATAATAATATCGTTAAAGTCTATTATATAAAATATTATTTATTTTAAAATTTTAATTCGTGGTGACTTTATCATATAAAAACATCTCAATTTGAAAGAAAATATTATAAACTACCATTAACATTGATTCTTAAACACAAAAATATAACCTCCATTTGATGACTAAAGGGTAGGAGTAGTATGAGCGTCAACTATGTATTTATGAGAGGTTAAGTGAGATTCATCTTGTGTCCTTTGTGTTGGATTGAGTTCCCAACTATGTGTCTAAATTCATCAAGTCTATTTTATCTCATTTCTAAATAGATAAGAAGAGTCTTCTAGGTCAGTAAACAATTTACCTCGATTCTCATTTTATTCATCGATTGGGCTGAAATTTTTAAGTTTACAATGTAAAGGTCTTCGTTTTGATCGTTGAGATCATCAATGGAAGGTGTGTGGTTAGAGATATCAGTATCGCACTATATTTAGTTTTTTTTTTTCTTTGTTTTTCTTCAAGTTTGATAGTAGTGTTGGTTTGATATATTAACTACTTATAAGCACTTATTTGTGCATTTTACTCGTTTTTTTTATCTTAGTGGAGTTGATCTACTAACTACCTATAAAAATCATATTAAGAATTTTTTCCACACTAAAAATATTGGTGTTCTCTGTTGTGATTATTCTTGCTTGTTGTTGTTCTTCACAGATTCTTGCAAGTTTAGGAAAATTATTTTCGTTACATACTTTGGTATTTTAGTTTGATGTGTTGTTTTACCTATAAAAGTTGTATGAAAGCTCTTGTTTTTTGGATTATATTTACTTGCTTGAATGATGGAGACAAATATCTTGTGGAAAGGCAAGATGAAAAATTTGTTATTTTTGAAGAAATTACATCTTCTTGTCTTTACTACACAGAAGTCAAATTTTATGTTCGATGAAGAATGAAACTTTGAGCAACAGCTGGTGTATGATTTTTTTTCGGCAATATATAGAAATATTTATAATCACATTGTTAATGAGACACATGTTAAAACTTTGTTTTGAGGTGTGTTGAAGATTAGGAGAATTACTTATCGCGAATATCTAATACTTAAGTCGATAAATAAATGAGTGTAGAATGTAAGAAAAAAAAAAGATGTGAGTAAAGGAAGTAACAAACCTTATAAAGGATAATATATAGGTAATTTTACCTGGGATTCATGAGATCATTATCTTCATTGTTTCAAAGTGTACCCTAATATCTTAGGGTCATTTTGTGTATTCCGGTCAGTTGTTAGTTTTACCTAATCAATATATTTGAGTAGGTACATAAGAAAAAATATCACAATGGGGAGACTCATTTAAGGAAACCCAATCAATATCATAATCATATTTCAACTATAGAAAAACTTACGAAGGATAAAATAGGCTTTAAGTTGAAAAATAAAACACAAAAATTAAATGACCTTTAGAAATGTTTAATAATTAGGATGTAACTTGGGGATACTTTAAGTATAAACAATATTTTTTACTCAAAATCAGACAGTAAAATTTCTAACTCTTTGAATATACACAAAATATAAAAGTAGTCCCCATCAATCATTTGCTTGATGTAGACTCCATTAGACAAAGAACATAGTTCAAAAGTCATTAAATTGAAATAAGTTAATTCACACATCAAAAGATTAACAATAATTATCTATTTATAACATTATGGTACACTTAGACTTATAATAGTGAATTCCTTTAAGTACTCAAGATCATGAATATAATAATACTTATCATTACATTTAATCCTAGTTGGATCGCCTCTATTTGGGTCTTATCTCACACTTTTGAGACTTTGAACCATTCATTTACCTACTTTGCATTCTCAAGATGCCAAAACAATACTATAGCGAGAATAGCAGTTAGAGCAACAACAAAAGTTACCTCAACCTCATTAGAAAAAGAAGGAAGTTCTTAGTACTATGAAAATTGAAGGAGTAATCTTCAATCAAGTGAGATAAAAGAGACTGATTACACACTCAACAGAATAAGTTAAAAAAGAAAATAATATTATTATGATAGAAAAGAGTAATGATAATATCAAAGTATCTTAGATGAAGATGATACTAGTTGAATGAAAGGAATATGAATATGAAACAACGACTAAAAGGAAAAAAAAACGTGATGAGTAAAAGTTAAGAGTAAAGGGAAGAGTAATTTATAAAAAAAAATAGGATGATTGAAATGCCTAAAAAAATGATGATGAAATGTTTTCAAATAGTATTATAATGATACAATGATAACAATATTCCCCACATTAAATATAATAATTAGGGAGCTTATATATATATACTCGAATATGACGAGTAAGTTAAACTAACATAATGTTAGGTAATCCAAATGTGATTCTAAATTTCACATTATGTAAGAATGAGATAGTTAAATAATATATAAGAAAATATGACCTATAATCTAATGTCTTAAAGTTTTGAGTTGAGAGTGGTGTCAATCCTTATATGGGTTAGACTCATGTCTCATTAGTGTTATTCTCCCCAGCAGATCCCTCTTGAAAGACCCAATAAGTGGTATTAGAGCCGAAGGTTGATCGACAAAAGTGATTTTTGTATCTATTGAATATAGAAGAAATAGAGTTTGAGATTAATCTCCCTTGTGTATAAATCACACATAGGGTTATCTATTTATAATAAGAGATACAACTAAAAGAGTAATTGAAAGTAACAGAATAAACAGAAGATATTGTTTGATATTGTGATTAACAATATCTAACAATATCAAATAATATCTAAACAATATCTAACACTCCCCCTCAAGTCGGAACATACAAATCGTATGTGTCAAACTTGTTACAAATATAATCAATTCTAGGACCCCGTAAAGATTTAGTAAAAATATCTGCTAACTGATCACTTGAGTTAACAAACTCAGTCTTGATGTCTCCAAACATAATCTTTTCTCGAATGAAATGACAGTCAATCTCAATGTGTTTGGTCCTCTTATGAAGGACAGGATTAGAACTAATATGAAGAGCAGTCTGATTGTCACACATAAGTGACATTTGAGTGACATCTCCAAATTGTAACTCTCTAAGCAATTGCTTGAGCCAAACAAGTTCACAAGCAGCTGAGGCCATAGTTCTATATTCTGCTTCTGCACTAGATCTTGCCACAACACTTTGTTTCTTACTTTTTCATGAGACCAAGTTACCACCAATGGAGACACAACATCCAGATGTAGATCTTCTATCCGAAGGAGTTCCTGCCCAATTAGCATCTGAGTAGCAAACAACTCTTGCATGGTTATTAGAATCATATAACAATCCTTTTTTAGGAGATCCTTTAACATACTTTAATATACGAATGATTTCATTCCAATGATCTTCACATGGGGAATTAAGAAATTGGCTTACCACACTGACTGCAAAAGAAATGTCAGGACGAGTAACTGTAAGATAATTCAATTTTCCAACCAATCTTCTATACTGCTCAGGATCAGGTATAAGCTCCCCCTGATTTGGTAGAAGTTTAGTATTGGGATCCATGGGTGTATCAACAGACTTTGAATTCATCAACCCAGTTTCCTCCAAAATATGCATGGCATATTTCCTCTGAGATATAACAATACCATCATTGGACTATGTCACCTCAATACCCAAGAAATATCTAAGTTTGCCAATATCTTTG